TAAAACAGCTCTCTGCTCGTGTTTTCAAAGAGAATCGTCCGGGCTGAAATATAAGACATAAATACGAATGTGCATTGGAATTTTTACATAAATTCATGAAAACTGGTAACGTTAATAACAGACACATGACGATTCAAGAATGGTCAATAACGAAGACATTAATATTGCGGTTCTAGGATACGTTGTCTCGATGAATAATACACAGTGTTTGATAGAGTCGTCCTAAGCATCAGGAGTGAGTGTACAAAATTTTCCAGAATTCATTATCGACACAATATCCACCCGTACAAAATGAAAATGATTCACACTTTACAAAATTTGCATTCGTTTGTTCACCACATCATATTTTTCCACTGAATGAAATGAAAATTGTGTAAGATTTTTTTTATTTTTACAAGTTGGCCATCTTAACACTTTGCAAATATCTGTGAATATACAGTGTGTCCCAGCTAAAACTTGTCACCCCCCTAATCTGCGAACTCGTGACAAAAATAGAAAATCGCTCAGGCCGTCAATTTTTCTTTCAAAGGGAAACACTTTCGCCAAATAGAAAATCATTATGTTGTCAACCCCCTCTTTCCCATCACCCCCTACTTGAGAATTTTCAATGGTACTATACTTGTGATACATCATTTTGAAAAGAATTCAATCCCAAATAGATCGGTATACTGAAATTGAGGAGCGATCACGTATCCAGATATTTTTTTTCATCACCTAAAATAATATCATCGTAGGAAAGGTTCACTGTGGATAGATAGGCCACTGTATTGAAAAATAATATGCTTTCATAAATCATAGTTTAGAAGGTGAGACAGACGTTTTCATGAGAAAAAAAAATTGTCGCCATGTGTTTTTGTATACGCATGCATATATTTGTTTAAGCCTTGGTATATTGATGTATTCGATTCACTTCATTCAACAATTTGAAAACTTTCTAAAATGGTTTATAGTTTATACTATACAAGAGGGCATATCCATTGTAGCTGTCTATTTTAAAAATGGACGATGTGCTAGAGACTACTTCTGGAGTTTCTAAAAGCATAGTACATCGAATTCTAGAAGAAGCAAAATTCCATCCTTATGAAATGCATAATGTGCAAGAATTAAATAAAGATAATCCTGACAAACGTACATAGTTTTATGAAATCATGAATAAATTATTGATTGGTGATAGTAATAACTTGTACAATGTGTGCTTTTCAGAACCTTTTTTCAAATAAAATGGACATGTGAACAGGCACACAGCTGCAGATACTGGAGTGACGTAATCTCCATTGGTACAGAGAAACTCATTCACAAACTCTCCAGAAATTGAAAGTTTGGGATGGTATTCTGGGACACCATATTGTAGGTATATATTTTATTGATGGTAACCTCAACGGGCAAACGTATCTTGAACTTCTCGATACAACTGTGAAGCCCAGAATCACTCAGTTCACTTGAAGACGACGATAGTTTACTTGAAGGTCAGCTCACCTTTCAACAAGATGGAGTTCCTCCACATTTCGTTGCACCTGTACGTCAATTTTTAGATGACAATTTCACAGGATTGGAAGACGAGGACCAATAGAATGGCCTGCCAGATCTCCTGCTTTATCACTATTAGACTTCTTTTCATGGGATCATTTGAAATTCAAAGTTTATATTACACAGCCAAATTTCCTTGATGATCTACCCAGGAGATTTGTTGTGGAGTGTCGTGCAGTCACTTCAGATATTTTCAGAAATGTGCCAAGACGTTTCGAAAATCGCTTATACTTCTGTATGGAACTGAATGGTTCACAATTTGAACCTTTCATATGATAATTACATTTCAGGTGATGAAAAATAAAAATATCTTGTTTTCGTTCAAACTTCAACAACACTTGATCCATACTCAATTTCAGTAAACCGATGTATTTCAAAATGATGTATCACAAGTATAGTAGGTAGATAGGTCTAAAGTGAGTAGGTCTATTCGACCCTCCACCGCAACCCACAAGGGTTCATTGTGGCTCACACCTATTCACACTCGGCCAAATACACCCAGATTCTTAAAGAAGCCGATTAGTTTGTATGGTGAGTAGTCTTTCAGGTCAGATGGCGAGAGTACGGATCTGCCGAACTCAAAGAACCTGATTTGGTCCCCAGTGGGGCAGGCACAAAGTATATGCTCTGCTGTTTCATCATTTTCCAGACAGAGGAGACACACACTGTCTTCAGAAAGTCCAAGTTTCTGCATAAGATGATTCAAATGACAGTGACCTGTAAGAAGGCCAGTTAGACATCGTAGTTCATCCCTACTGTAGTCCAACAACTGTTTGGTATCAAGCTTTGAAGGGTGAATAAACGCCGTGGAGTGAGCCAATCCTGGAAAATTCTGCCAGAAGTCCATAAATCTTCTTGCCATCCAGGTGTTCAGTGTTTGTTTGGCAAAGCCCAAAGCGATGCCAATGACAGGTTCTGGTCCAATGAAGCCGCTTGCAGCACCCTCCTTTGCAAGAGAGTCAGCAGCTTCATTGCCTTTCAGGCCTGTATGGCCAGGAATCCAGACCAGAGACAATCTGTTAAGTCTTCCTATCGAGGAGAGTCGTTTTTGGCAGTTTGCTACCAATTTGGACGTTTCTCGGTAGGAGCCAAGAGCTTCCAACGCCGCTTGACTGTCGGAGAATATTTTTATTGACTTGTGAATGCGGTTGGATTTACCCAATTTAATTCAATCGCGTAAATAACTATGCCCTGGGTATGCGTCTAAAAAACACCTGCACCAGAACCGGAAGGTGTTTTGATCCATCTGTGAACCAACAACTATTTGCTCTTAATATTTCCTTCTCCCGGAGGATTCAGTCCTTTCTACTCGGGAATATACTTTATAAGGCAGTTCGTAGTTGACAATTGGAGGCATAAAGTCAGAGGTCATTTTCAGAATGCTGTGACTTCCAATGTAAACCAACAGTCTGTTGCACTCTGCATTGAATTGATTTGTGCAATTGGCAATGTGCACAAGTCTGTATGCAGTCCATCTAGCCTCTCTCTCCAGAAAAATGTGGTGAGGAGGTAGATCTAGAAGTATCTCCATGGCCGGTGACGGAGTGGTACTGATGGTACCAGTGATAGCCAGACAAGCCTGTCTGTAAGCCAGAGAGCTTCGCTTGGGCCGGTTTCTGTAAAGCCTTCGGCCACCAAGCAATGGCAGCATAAGTGATCATTGGTCTGACAATCATCACATAAATACAATGGATTTGTTTGGGACAAGTATAGTAGTCCCATTGAAAATTCTGAAGAAGGGGGTGCTGGGGATGAGGGGGTTGACAACAAAATGACGATGTATTTGGTGAAAGTGTTCCCCCTTGAAATAAAAATCGGCGGGGCTGAGCGATTCTCAATTTTTTTCACAAGTTCGCAGATTAGGAGGGTGACAGGTTTTAGCTGGGAGAGACTGTATGTGGACTGTTCAAGAAATAAGGTCAATGTTCAAATTTCGCGGGCTACATACATTCGATTAGCGATTTTTTTTCATGTTGGTACACTCGTCTCGAACATATATTCACAGTTTCAGCTGTTTAGCATGTTCAATTTGTTGGTGACAGACATTAAAAGGTGTCTTGCGTGTTCGGCGATTTTCTGCGATCGAAAAAAATGGATCAAAGAATTTGCATCGAATTTTGTGAAAAAAAAATTCAATTAAGTGCTCAAAAACACTTGCAATGTTGACAGTGGCATATGGTGATTGTACTCTGAGTCAGAAAAATGTTAACAAGTGGTACAAACTGTTCACAGAAGATCGAGAAGATGTGAATGACGACGGTCGCCCTGAACGCCTCAAAGTGTCAAAAAACAAGATTCAAATCTAGAAACAATGAGAAGACATAAACTCTGATTAATTTGAATCCAAAAAAACTGGATTTCAGTATTGTACAAGGTGTGTTATTTTTGCGATATTAACCGGTATCAATCATAAATAATGTTCAACTTATGAGGTGAAAAATTATCACTTGGTATTTCTATGAAAAGAAATCACTATCCAATTGTCCTATTGCATTTTTTGTCTTTTGTGAGACCTTTTACGAGACCTATACTTCTAAATCGATATGTGATGTAATCAATCGGCCGATACTCAATGAAAATCCATAACGTATTCAAGAAACAATTTATTGTGAGAATTTCACTAAACAGTTTATTCAGCTGTTTAGCATGTTCAATTTGTTGGTGACAGACATTAAAAGGTGTCTTGCGTGTTCGGCGATTTTCTGCGATCGAAAAAAATGGATCAAACAATTTGCATCGACTTTTGTGAAAAAAAAATTGAAGTAAGTGCTCAAAAACACTTGCAATGTTGACAGTGGCATACGGTGATTGTACTCTGAGTCCCAAAAATGTTAACAAGTGGTACAAACTGTTCTCAGAAGATCGAGAAGATGTGAATGACGAAGGTCGCCCTGAACGCCTCAAAAACACGATTCAAATCTAGAAACAATGAGACAACATAAACCCTGATTTATTTGAATACAAAAAAACTGGATTTCAGTATTGTACAAGTTGTGTTACTTTTGCGATATTAACCGGTATCAATCACAAATAATGTTCAACTTATGAGGTGAAAAATTATGACTTGGTATTTCTATGAAAAGTAAACACTATCCAACTGTCCTATTGCATTTTTTGTCCTTTGTGAGACCTTTTACGCAAATCACGTTTCCTTCTATACTTCTGAATCGATACGTGATGTAATCGGCCGATACTCAATGAAAATCCATAACGTATTCAAGAAACAATTTATTGTGAGAATTTCACTCAACAGTTTTACAAAAACTCCAGTTAAGACACGGTTGAAAAAGCTATAGCGAAACACGTGTTGCGGTTTTGTAAATCTATTTAGTGAAAAGCTCACAATAAAGTGTTTCTTGAATACTTCTGGATCGAATTTACACAACATAAAATGTACCTAGGTGTAATATTGAAGAGCGCCATTGTCAAAAAATTCTCCTAAATACAGACCATAATATAAAACTGTTTTCCAGATACAGCAGTGGGATCGAGGAAGACATATTGGGTTTACCGGTCTTAGATTATGTGAGTAATTTTTTTTTTCATTCTTCACTGAATATTTACAGTAGAATAGAATAAATCAAAGTCATCTCGACTTTGTTTACAGTAGAATGTGAATGAATATAACAATTTAAACAAAATAGTACCTAACTTTTAACCAACAATAGTCCATTATTTCACTACCACAAAGTACAGTATGTATTTAGAATATAGAAAGAATTCGATAAGTGTCAAATCCAACACAGAAAAAATATTTTGTGAAAAACTAAAACTTCATGATCATCACAGGTATAATTTTATTTTTGAAAAATATCTGTCTGTTCGGTATTGGCTTCGAAATTGAATGACTGAAGTTGAAGTACTATACAGGCCGTTTCTTTTATCATGTGGTAACATTGTTATACTCTAAACCGTAACAGATACGAAGACGATAAACAAAATAGTAACTTTTAACCAACAATAGTCCATTATTTCACTACCACAAGGTACAGTATGTATTTAGACTATAGAAATAATTCAATAAAAGTTTCAAATCCAACAAAGAAAAAATATTTTGTGAAAAACTAAAACTTCATGATCATCACAGGGATAATTTTATTTTTGAAAAAATATCTGTCTGTTTCGGTATTCGCTTCGAAATTGAATGACTGTAGTTGAAGTACTATACAGGCCGTTCCTTTTATCATGTGGTAACATTGTTATACTCTAAACCGTAACAGATACGAAGACGATAAACAAAATAGTAACTTTTAACCAACAATAGTCCATTATTTCACTACCACAAGGTACAGTATGTATTTAGACTATAGAAATAATTCAATAAAAGTTTCAAATCCAACAAAGAAAAAATATTTTGTGAAAAACTAAAACTTCATGATCATCACAGGGATAATTTTATTTTTGAAAAAATATCTGTCTGTTTCGGTATTCGCTTCGAAATTGAATGACTGTAGTTGAAGTACTATACAGGCCGTTCCTTTTATCATGTGGTAACATTGTTATACTCTAAACCGTAACAGATACGAAGACGATAAACAAAATAGTAACTTTTAACCAACAATAGTCCATTATTTCACTACCACAAGGTACAGTATGTATTTAGACTATAGAAATAATTCAATAAAAGTTTCAAATCCAACAAAGAAAAAATATTTTGTGAAAAACTAAAACTTCATGATCATCACAGGGATAATTTTATTTTTGAAAAAATATCTGTCTGTTTCGGTATTCGCTTCGAAATTGAATGACTGTAGTTGAAGTACTATACAGGCCGTTCCTTTTATCATGTGGTAACATTGTTATACTCTAAACCGTAACAGATACGAAGACGATAAACAAANTTGAATAGAAAATGAAGATACATTTCACTATTCAAATGAGCATCGTAAAAGAAAGGGCCCAGAATGTTTGTTTTCACAATTCCCAACCACATTTATTCCGAACCTTTCTTGGAAATTCGTTTCCCTATGTAAATGTTGATTTGTATTATTCCACCTTGAATATTTCTGTTAAACCAACCATTGTTGGTGAATTTTGATCCGTCTGTCCATATTATTTTTTTGCAAATATTTCCAACTTCCCTATTTCTACGTTTTAACCACTTCGCAAATCGTACTCTCCTTCCTTGAAAGAAGGATTACGGCAGTACAAAAAAATAAAATTTGATGATGGTCATGTTGACACGAAACGTTTTATCGAATATTTATTATTGCATCGTCATAGAAAACAACATTTTTCTTCTCCATTTTTTGACATTCTCCGAAATAACAATTCCATTCGAAAAAAATAAAAAACAACAGTTATGGTTTTCCCCGTGTAACTCGAGAAGGGCGAGAGTCCCCATGAATTTTTTTCGACCATTGTATTGTTGTTTTGTGTTGTTACCTTTTTTCCCATTTAATCGTCTTCGTATCTGACACGGTTTAGAATATAGCAATGTTACCACATGATACAAGAAACGGCCTGTATAAGAGGTATGGCCGATACCTGATGAAAATTCATAGCGTATTCGAGAAACACTTTAATGTGAGTTTTCCAAAAACGCAAAACGTTTTCGTATCTGACACGGTTTAGAATATAGCAATGATACCAAATGGTACAAGAAACGCAAAACGTTTTTGGAAAACTGTTTAGTAAACATCTCACAAAGTGTTTCTTCAATTTACAATCAACTCTATAGTTGAATATAAATTTGAGTTTCTCGTTTTTTCTTTCTGAAAATTGTAACGAATTGTGTTCACAGGACGATCCACGAAATTATGATCCCATCTGGGAAGCGCAAAATGTAAGTATATACTTCAACATAGTTCCAAAGTGCCTTCATTATTTTCATTATTCACAAAATTGATTGTTCAAATATTCAAATTAAAATATTTAATGGCTGCATNTACAACAAATATACCTTCCTTGAGCTTTGCATCACATGTTTAAGATATTTGAACGCATCACCTTCTTTGTCTAATGCTTTCACAAAATTTTTCATCAACCCCAGTTTAATGTGTAATGGAGGTAACAAAACGTTTTTGAGATTAACAAGACGTATATTCTTCACGTTAGCTTGACCTGGGATATATTTATCTCTCGGAGGTCATTCTTTTACTTGATAATGGCTCTGTGTTGCCCTACTGTTCCAAAGGCGAAGAAAATAGCAAACCTTCCTAAATCCGCCCTGAAGACCTAGTAATAGTCCTATGACTTTCAAGTCACCACATATTTGCCACTTATAATAAGTGAATAATAATAATAATTTAGAATAAGTGACATACTTTCGTGTGTTTCATTCATGGCAACTGCATGTGCAAGAGGAATAGAGGGTTTTTACTCGTTATACTATGAGTACTTGCCCAAGGACGCCACATTTTTAACAGATAACAAAAATTTCAAGTAATTATAACTGCACCAATATCGAATTTCAACACTCAAATCGCGATCAGTTCCTGAACTGGCAACACGACGGGTATAACCATCCTCGCATTCTATTCGTCACCGTAACATGACTTCAAAATCAATTTTATGACTCTTCAGCCAATCATAAAACTCGGTTAGTAAAAATTATCCAATTCGAACCGCCAATTCTTCAGTCCGCGTGGACTAATTGGCAGCGGCTTTATTTCTCTGTATTGTTTTTTTTTGGCCTTTGAGATCGCCGACAGCTTTAACTATTCACAATACCGGTTACTTCGACTATATCAACATAAAAAATAAAATAATCGTTAATCAAACGTACGTAGCCCGTGAAATAATTTGAGCATTCACTTTATTTTTTCAACAGACCTCGTACAAAATATCATAAGAGACATTTTTTCAATTTTCAAATGGTATTTATGATGAATGTCCTGTATTCAAAGCATTCTCAATAAAATTGTCATGTCATCCTCTTATCATAACCTCAGTAGAAGGATCAAGATTTAATTTTGTTTTATGATGCCAAATACCAAACACAGCAATTTAACGTCACTGTGATGCAGAATTCAAGGTTGTTACTGTCTCTTTACTTAATCCTGACATTTATGTCTTGTCTGAAACAATCAGAACTATATTAAATACGTTTTATCGCAAGATATAATCAGATCACATAACAATATTAATTGGGACAGTTAGATTACAAATATTACAATAGACATAGAAACAATATTTAAATGATTCCCAATGTTTGTAACAACGCTTTTCGAATCTCTACGAGTACAAATAAACTTCTAACCAATATTTCATACAATCATTTCAGAACATATGGCGACAAGAAAAAGTTCAAGAGCAAAAACCAGAGTGGGATGTAATTTTCAAGAAGTTATGCGAAAACAATGATTTTACTTTGGGAGATAAACCAATAAACTGCGAAAACATCAAAATAAAGCCCAAAGTATACAAATCTGATATCAAGAAACGAGACGTATCTGACGTTTTAGAGGAAGGTTCAGGAGACGGTAAGAATAGTTCATAATTTTTGTTTATCAGAAATTTAAATCATTCGTATTCGAGTATGTAATATGTTGTCAAAAATTACTTTCATTTTAGACTCACCATTTTATTGCGTTTATTGTCAGCCGAGGGCTTGAACCACCGACCAACACGGCGGTCGATTTGAGTGAGTAAACAAAGCACCCACGTCGAACCGACCGACCTGCACTTAATGATTGATGTTATACCTCTCGCACTTGAAACTTCATACTTCACACTGATATTATTTAAAATAATTAGGTAGTCACTATTAATAAAATTCTTGTCATAGGATAACATTAAGTTTAATTTGATTATCTTCCTCATTTTAGCCAACTCATTGTTATCTGATACTCATACTTTTAGAAAATATTCTTCAAATCAATAATCCTCTTTTCATCATAATCCAATTCTCTTTTATGAAAAATTTACAAGTCTCACTTCACATTTCCAATTGAAATTCTTCTTTAACCAGTTATATATTCCTCCAATAATTCTTTAAAATCAGTATCACAAAATTTCACTGATTTCTGCGATACATTTCTACAGTTTTTCTATGACTATCGAACCTTAGATCCAATCACAATTGACTATTCATAAATACGAATGTACCATACCTTCTCACAAACAATATACTATTCTTCAACATATGACAATCTTATTGGCTGAGGCATTAGTTAATAGTGCAAAGGTTTAAGATATACATATAGTGCATCCGAAATAATTGGGCAATGTAATAGATAGGAAACGACATGCATACTCTCCCGAACAACCTGAATTTTCAATGAAGACTTCTTACACTTCACTACAAAGTAGCCCATATTACGATTTTCTGGATCAATTTCATGAAATAAGACAGCACTTCATTAATTATTCTGGAAAAAAAATATTTTGAATTCCATTTTTCAACTCAGATTTCTGGCAATTTAAATATTTGAATATGTGGAACATTAAAAAAACCATTCCCAATTTGAGGATAAACTTGATAATTAGGATATAAAATTTAATTACTATTAAATGTGAAATGCCAAAAGGGTAATTGTGAAAGAAAATATGTGATATAAAAGACTTCAAACCTTAGAAATTTTACACTAACAATATTAAACTGTTGAACGAAGGTAATACTCTTTCTAATTGTGATATAAAATGTTTTGTTTTCATTATTTTTGAAAAGATGAAATTACCAATTCAACAAATGTCTCTAAATAGTAATAACCTTTTATCAATTTGAGGTCTTCTATAGAAAATGCGACTTGAAATGCCTCACTATTGAGTACGCTCCTTAAAAAGCCTCATTGGGTAATTATTCTTAAATGATTTCATTGAGTATAAACGAGAAAACCACTATTTACTACACTATAGTTTCGTTTTTCGTAATTGGCAACTAAATGAATGAACTTTTCATAATCTGTTATGAAAAATGAAATTTCTCGTAATTGTTTACAATTAATAAAGCATTTTGACATCTGCAACGATTTTAAAAAGTGTCAAATTAAATACCAAAATGAGTAAACCCTTACTGATACAACAAAGTGTTACCAATAGGTTCATATGATGTAGTTAAAGACATTGTAATACGGTCTTAGTAGATCTAAGTCTAGTAGATTCAGATCTAAGTAGATCTAAATCGTTCAGATCTAAGTAGATCTAAATCGTTCAGATCTCTACTTTCAATGTCAACAGCACTTCAATTCATAATATGACAGAAAACTTCGATATGTTATGAAAACGAAAATTAATCTTATAGATGCTCCTGTGGACCACCAAATCGAAGAAAATAAGGAATACGAACAGTCAGTTCCCGTGGTATCTTCGCCAGTAGAACAAGCAAAAAAAGAATCAGAACCGGTGCATTCAGAATCTGCAAACTCAGTACCAGAGAAATTGATTACCATTCCAATAGAATCAATACCTCCAGACTCCGTTACTCCAGCTGAATCAACCCCTCTAGAAGCAATACCAGTGAAAGTTCCGGTAGAGGCAGTCCCTCCGGTAGAAGCACCACCTCATGTAGAAACAGTACCTCAGGTGAAAGCAGTACTTGGAGCAAAAGCCGAGCCGATAGCTCCGTTAGAGACAGTATCAGTGGACACAGCACCAATATACGTAGACACAACTGCTTCAAACAAAGCACTAACAGAAGCATCACTTACTGTATCAACTGCAGTAGCTCCAATAGACCTTAACCCAGCAAAAACCAATACCATAGACCTTGAATCTCCTGTTACATCTGTCAAAGTGGCGCCGATAGTATCAGTTATAACAGAATCAGTCTTGAAATCTGCAATACCAGATGACAAGTCGAAATCTGCACCAGAAGCAACAGAGGCAAAAGCCAAAGAAGAGGAAAAACCAGAAAGCAGTGACAAAGGTTCTGGGTTACTTGAAAATGAACACATTGAGAATAAAAAGAAATTGGACGTCAATGAAAAACGACTATCTCAAGAAGAAATCAACGATAAACAAAGTGGTGTCGCAGTTTATAACATTGACAGTGATTTGCGTGAAACAGAAGATAAATTGAACACATTGAAGACAAACGAAAATATTAGTAAGTATCATTTCATTTTTTTTACACTCCCAGTGGCTTATTTTTGTCTCTGGCAACCGGTCGAATATCTCAAATATGACTCGTTACTAAAATATATTTTAATGTTGATAACGTGAAAGTTATGCTTTCTTGAGCTAGAACCATACTGGAACTCAGTTTCAGTAAAATATTATAACCTTCTTCTCTATAATTTGTGAAGAATTGGTTATTTCAATACTTATAATTTTGAGTTTATATTGAAAAATGTTTTGAAATACTTATACTCGCCTAGTTAATTTAAATATTGGATCATTTTCACTTTTTTTTCTCTATCCTTAGGTGCTAAGGATAGTTACGTTACTAGTTTTGAAACTAATTCTTCTATTTCGGAACATTATGTCTTCATCGAGTAAATATTACTATTTTTGATCATCATCTACTATTAGAATTATTAATTACTATGATTGTGATCAGGTGCAAACAGAAGATTAGGTATCCTCTGAATCTTGATGACAATATACATTAAAAATTAAATAATATTACTCAAAAAAATAGTCCTTCACAAAACAATCTCGGTAGATCAGGAGTATATGAGCTGACTTGTGGGTCTTGTCTAAAACTGTATATTGGCCAAACAGGGAGAACATTTTCCCAAAGAATTAAAGAGCATAGAAGTAGTTTTGTAAATAGAAAGACCAATTCCACATTTGCAAACCACCTCTTAGCAGAAGGACATGAGTTCAATCATGAATACGATGTGTTACATTTAGAAGAGTAGAGTTTGAAACTCAATCTTCTGGAATGTTTAGAAATCAATAGACTCGGAAATTCGGGTAATTTACTGAATCGTCAATTAGAATTGAATAACTTCCTGTTACTGAATATTTTTTCAAATGTGGAAACTGGGACATAAGCTCAGGTAATTTAATTCATTACAAACTTAGGTAAAAATCAGGTACTTGAAATGTAGATACTTCATTGAATGTGTAGAATTAGTTAGTGAAAACATGCCCGAAGAAGCCATTGTATGGCAAAACACTTGTTGCATTTTTGTAAAACAGTTTAGTGAAAATCTCACAATAAATTGTTTTTTTGAATATGTTAGTATGGATTTTCATCAAGTATCGGCCAATTCCATCATATATTCACGGTAAGGTTTGATGATGAAAATTTCATTGAAAGTTATTAATATACTATAGTTCCAGTCAGTTACTTTTGATAACTAAAGAAGAGGTTCTAGTATGCTGACTTGTGGTGTTCCAGCATTCAAGGTCAACATTTTTTACCGAAGTATATTTTTAAATGTATTTAATTTCAAAACGTAAGAGAATAATGTGACAAGCTGTTGAGTAATTTAGATAATATCAAATAATATCATATATTTGATAGATAGAGAGAATGGCTTCTTTTTCAAAGTATTAGAGCATTTGTGACACTAGGGACTTGAGACAAACTTCATATTCCAAATCATGCCCCAACTCCTTTCTATGAGAAGTAAAAAAATATTATTCTTGTCTTATCTGAAAATTGATTCCACTAATATTTAAATTCCGTCGATAAAAAATTCCTGTTGAATATTATGAATAAATTTCATCAATACCTACTACTTTTTTCAGAAACGGCATCAATTGGTGGAATTGGAGAATCGAGCGAACGGAATACCGGTAGGAACGATAACAAAATTCTCGTAACTCTGTTCGTTGCTGTACTTGCTGTTGGCGTAGCAGCTTTTTCTTACCACTACATCAAGAAAAAGAAACGTACCAACAATACATCTTCACGGAATGGAGTTGTCAAGTGCGATGTAGAAGAAGGGACGGAAATGAAACCACTAATGAAGGTTCCAGAAGAAAGTTCAAAAGTCGAAATTAAAAATGAGAAAGAAGAAAATGTCACTGCATAAACTATTAAATCTAACAAAAACACAAGTAAACAAAAAAATTAGTATTAAACTGCTCAATAACAACCTGAACAAACAATGATTACCAGTGAGTACTCTTGACAAGTGTAAAAATCTTGTTAGCAAGAGTTCTAATAGTTCAGAGAGAAGTGCTTATTAGACTACTTTTTATTCTTTCATTCAGAACTTTTTAACTGGGTCATTATATAATTAAGATTCAAATAAATATTTAGAATAGAGATGTGAACTGTATAAAAAGATTAGCTATAAGAATTTTTGTAAGATATTTCAGTAAAATCATATCATGTTCGTGCACTTGTTAAAATTATAAAGTTATTATAATGTTTCGTAATAATTTTGATTAAAATTCATTAATTTGTTTATTACTTTTACATACTTCACACCTGTTTAAAAATTATAAAATTATTTTAGAATATATAAAATATAGTGAAAGTATTTTGTGGACATATAAGTCGTATATAAAATAGTTAATAAGTCAAATGCATATCTGAAGGTAAGTCATTGGCTTAATGTAGAAAGATGAAAGGACGCATTATGGATCCCCGTTACACATCCCTTTGAATAGAACAATCCTGCTAGAACTTCGCGGTGGAACAACATCTATGTTAAATTAATCAAATATAATTTACTACCTGGCACAATCAAAATCCTTTGACAGATCAGTAAATATAGTTACACATTATTGTTCATCCTCAAAAACTTAAGTATGTTGTTAGCTAATGTTTGTTAATAGCTTTTACTCAAACTTTTACTTCAACTTTTTTTAAATCCAAACTGATGATGATGCGTATAATTATTATTCTCCATATAAATATATTATTCAAGTAACACTTTATTAAACAAGGGCGATGACATCTCCCCTTACAAAGACGCCATCTATGGGATCGACAGAGAACTCAATCCTTTTAGCTAAAATCACTCTCTTGCATTTTTTGTATACAGAGAGGCTTAAAGTTAATGATTGAAAGTGAATCAGTTTAAATCAAGACAATTTCATTCTTTGCAAACTCATTTGAACAGAATCAGCTGAATTCGTTTTCAAAAGGCTGATAACTTAGTAGGTTCAGATTTGTTATTAGGTGTTGACGATGTGTTATCTTGAGTAATATAAGTTCGACAACCGATTCTTATGTATTGTACATATTTATACGTATCTGCTTTCTTTTGCCACATGAAAATAGCAGATAATGTGAAATTCCAAAAATCTAGATCACAACAATGCCATTTTGAATGAATTTTACAATGATTGATTCTGAACCAGGATCTTATTTATATATTCTTCATATATTAGAGAGGCTTAAAGTTAATGATTGAAAGTGAATCAGTTTAAATAAAGACAATTTCATTCTTTGCAAACTCATTTGAACAGAATCAGCTGAATTCGTTTTTAAAAGGCTGATAACTTAGTAGCTTCAGATTTGTTGTTATTAGGTGTTGACGTTGAGTAATATACGTTTGATAACCGATTCTTATTTGTTGTACATATTTATACGTATCTGCTTTCTTTTGCCACATGAAAATAGCAGGTAATGTGATATTCCAAAAATCTAGATCACAACAATGCCATTTTGAATGAATTTCACAATTATTGATCCTGAACCAGGATCTTATATATCCTTTATATATACTTTTAGCGAACCGCCCCGGCTTCACACGGATGCAATGCTGATACTAAATATTATATACAAAGGCATGGAGAAACAGTGATTAAAAGATAATTTTCATATGTAAACGCGCTGCTTTATCCCCAGTAATATTCAAAAATCCTTTCTTATTGCAAATCTAAAACATAAAACGAACCTACATACAAAATTTCAGCCTCCGAAAATATAGCGGAACGGAGAAACAGTGGTGAAAAGGTAATTTTCATATGTGAACGCGTTTCCTTTACCCCCATGGAATGCGTCCGAGTTGGAATATTTGAAAATCCTTCCTTAGTGCGCATCTAAGACCTAAGAAACACCTATATACCAAATTTCAGCTCCCTAGGACTTACCAGTACGGAGAAACAGAGATGAATGAGTGAGTGTTAAGTGAGTGACTTTCGCAATTATAAGTATAGATTTTATGTAACTATTCATATGTAACTTTTATATTTTACATGTTTTCTTTGTTAATGTTAACTTTATCTGTGCCTTTGAAGAGGCATAAGCCTATAACAAGGCGTACACATACTGCCTAACCTACAAACTGTTATAATGTGAAAAATCAATTAATGAACATTTTAAGTTCAACTTCATCTGTAAGCAGCTAGTAGAATTTGTCAACAAAATTTGATTTGAGTCTCTTGAGAATTTTCAAGAGAAGTCAATTCATACAGCATAATTTCAATCCTGAAAATTAAGACTGACGACATGTGATAGTGTTACACCAATCGAAACGTAATTGTGTGATTTGCATAGAATTTCAAAAATGTTGGGTTTTCTAGATCAGTTGTCAATGTCTACAACAAACTGTATTCAATCAACCCATCAACCAGTATTTTTAGTTAAAGGTCATTTAATTTTATTAGTTAAAGAAAAAGTACCTGTTTGTGGTTATGCCCATTATGAATGCTCTTACTTGGTTTGATCAGTCTTGAAATTAGAAATTCGAGAACTTTCAAGGTCACAGTTTAAGGACAAAGACTAAAAGAGTTTTAATATGGTATATTTGAATAATTAAACTATTCGAATTAAAATTGAGAGAGGAACTAGGATGTATAAACCGGCTCATAGACAATGTATATGGATTATAATTAAAATCACTAAAATTCACACCTTTTTTTATTGTGAACAATGATGGAAGCTGTCAAGGATGCATCTTAAAATCATTAGGGGTGACAAAACTTTGATTATCCCAAATTATAAAAATATGAGTTGTATTTATACATAATGGGAGTCATCAGATATGTTAAAAAATATTTCAACTTTCGCATTGCCTTAGTATAAAAATAAATTTGTATACTCACCTCCATTACTAAATAAACATTATTTGAAGACTCCTTGCAATCCAACAGGGCCACAACATTTTCATGATGCAGCTCAGTCAATTCCTTGAAAAAAAAACAATTTATGTGAGAGAAGATTTTAAATGGGGAAATGAACAAAACATTATGGAGAAACTCAACTTTGAACCCTATATAGTAGGAGGTTGCGAAATGTCATAATTTTCGCATATGGCGGACACTGCCATGTGATTGAATGAGTGATAAATTGAGCCTTGATTGGAGTTTTCAATATTATTTACACAGAACGAGATTTATCAGTTTTCAAAGTATCAAAAGGAAGATGATTGTACTTATCCATCAAATAACAATTTCGAATTGGATAGCAATATGTCTTGGCAAAATTACATTACTAAAAAAGTGGAAACAGCTCTCAGAACTTGGAACATGATTTCAAACTGAACAGTTAAAGAGGCCTTTACAAAGGTTATTACTTGGTTAAGCTCAAATTATACCTTTGCTCACATATACGAAAAACGGCCATATGTTTGATTGAAGAACCAAACTACACAAGCAACATTGTTAGTGTACACTATCGAAAGCATATTGAGGAATTGTCTCTTTTCCATACACAATTCCGCAGGAAGTATGTCGTTAATTTGAAAGCTAGAGGCAATCGTACAATTTCTTATTTTAATAGTAACTTCCATTGGAAACGACTTCTTTACTATGATTAGTAAAGAATGGAAAAATTCTTATTGAATGAAACTTGAATAGATTTTTAGCTCAAGACTCAAAGGGTCCGCTTGGTGGTTGATGGAATAAGACGAACATTATTACTATTTGTTCCCTATCTGCAGAGTGCATGACCTTCGAGGAAATTGCTCAATGGCTGGAGATATCGTCAAAAAACATCAGTCACAAAAAATATTAATTTTTTTTTTGGTAATATCAGTATTTTCCAGAATTTCTCAAATTTTCTGATTCCTCAACCAGTACCAAATTTTCCAAAAATTGAAAAATTCTCCAACAATTGGCATCACTTACATAAGACTAAAAGAATAAACAGAATTTAAAAAATAAGTCCATTCATCCACAATCACCTAATTTAAACTGTTACAATAGAATAGATGTGTAAATCATACACAAACCTATCTGAAATAAGTACTTTTCACTATGGACATTGAATGAGTGGGATCAGTAAACCTTGTTTAAACTATTTTATTTTTGAAGAATGACATAACTTTTCCTCTGAACCACAGTAAACATTTCTTCGACTATTTATTTATTGTTGACATATATTGTTGACTTGAAAGTTCAGACACAATCTCAAATCACTAAATTCTGTCTCCAATTTACAAATTGAATTGAATAAAATGGCAATTTCCTTTGTCTTCATGCAGGGGAATTGAACAGCAATCAGGATCATGGTTATATATTGTAAGAACTTCATTCATAAAAAAGATATTCTAAGTTTTGGGAAATCAATTAATGAAATGACAATAATGAAAACTTCAATCAAAAACCTTGATATATGAGAGTTTAAACATAAAGTAGTAATTAACAAATTTACCTTTAAAATTTTAATCTCCTTTCCAAGTAGATTTTGTGACTTTGCCAAATTTTTCTTTAATATGCTTTTAATAGCTACCGTACGGGAATGGTCCTGAAAAATAGTCCAATGAACATTCAATACAACTCCAACTGAATTAGTGATATACTGACTGACCTCCCTGAATCTGGCTTTAAAAACCACTGCAAATGCACCAGTACCAATAATGTCTTTGGGATGATATTCATAATCACCAATGATTTCCATGATTGCACTAGTTTTCAGAGTTATTCAATTAAACAAAATTTATATAAAACAATAACAATGATTTCACTATGCTCTTGTTCAATTTATAGGAACACTCTATGTTTGTGAATGTCCTACCTACATTTTGATCTTACACAAATCACTCTCAATTTACCAATAATAAATTTATTTTCTGACGAAATCAAATAATGTACTTGACAAAAATAGAAACAAAACCCAGATTCCTTATACTCAGAAAAACTCTCACCACAGAAATGAAGTAAATAACTTCCTGTTTATAAGATGAATTTTTGGATGTAATCTTCTTCTTTAATGTTTGAAGTTGACGTTTTTTAGTTAAGAAACTCTGCCGCGGATCTTTACCTGAAAACCATTGAGTTCCGTGGTAGGGGGCGAACGTGCCGATAACGTCGGTAGGCTTTTTTTAACACGCTTATATGAGCTTCACTTGTATGCTTGTTTGTAACCGACTCCTTTGGATTCGATTTTGACTAACTTTAAACGGGCAGATGTATTTTAAACTTCGTACACTTATCAAGTACCATTGACAATACAATAACTTCATAAGTTTATCTCATTATCCTGATCAGGATTGCCAGGATTAAATAATTTTCTCACACAGTCTCTGTGTGACAGCAAGTGAGACAACCACACTGTCTGTGCATGGGTATATATTTTATATTGAAACATATGGGCTTGAAATAGCAAGCCAAACTGAAAAGTGGAATATAAATAATAATTTAAAAAACTAAAAAACACACTTCAATAGCAACATAAACTGAAAAATGATTGTAAACTATTTCAAGATTGTGTTGTGTTTTTCAGTTTTTCAAACTATTATTAATTGTGTTGCGCTCGTTCATTGTGAAAATCAATTCACCGTTTGAGAATTTTCAAAGAAGGTGGAGTAAGGGGCTTCCTTTATTCACGCCGGTATCCAGGCCAGTTTATTTCGGATAATCACGGAAAGGGGATCATGTATGTGAAATGAAAAACATAAAGGTCCTTCAAGGGTGGAAGTCACTCCATATAAGAAATTAGGTGTTTTTTACAAAAAAAAATATGATGCGTGTAGCCCTGGTTGAAAATATATAATTTGTATCTGCTACAAATAGACCTCTTGAATACATTTAAAAATATAATTACAAAATATTACAATTCCATATATAGTAATTGGACTAAGTTTTAGCAAAACTTGTGTATGGCATAAGATTGGATACAGAAAAAACATGGCGCATCCAAAAACTACCTGTTACGATTCGATTATGCGCGCTAACTCATTACCAAAAAGTGGGAATACTCAGACTACTGCTTTCAACTATACTATGGTTAGTAGATCAATTGACCGTTCTAACCTACAATAATTTAAAGTTCTAACTTCTAACCTTGCAGAGATGTTTGTGAAAATTTTAATGAAACATGGTCAATTTAAAATATTTTCACAAAGCAGATATTTTTCAAATAGGAATATGCTGAAACTTAAAGATCGTGGCATGTTCCAAGATATTTTTCCCGATAATGCAGCGTACTAACTCATTCCCACACTTTTGGTAACCACTTCTTATAAATTCACTTTTCAGAAATGTCGTAACTGATATTTTCAATTCCGGTTACCAGACTGTATATGCTGGATTCGACCCAACCGCAAATAGTTTACATGTAGGAAATTTGTTGGTACTTTTTAATTTACTGCATTGGCAAAGAGGAGGACATAAGACTATAGCTGTAGTATGTATACTATTCAATATTTTTTATCATCAGTATTATACAGATTTATTGCAACCTATCAAGCAAAAACGGCCGCATTTGACATATACACCAGCCCACAAATCCATTATCGCAATGACCAAAATTAACAAATTAATTTTTAAATTGCTACCTCATGCACCTTATTCGTCAGATTCAGCCCTCTCGGATTGTTTTCTGTTACAAAACTTGAAAAAATGGCTTGGTGGTAAAATATGTTCCAACGATGAAGAAGTTATGAAGGCAGTTAATGGCTATTTTGAGAAGCACCACAATTCTTATTGTTACCTTTTTCCCCTTAGGTTGACCAATAATTGACTACACTGAATTATTCAAACTTAACTTTATTTTACTTTGAATACAACAAACACTTCCACTAAAACTTCAACTAATATTCGATTGAATATTACTGCAGTTTTTTCCCAACATCAAACCGTTATTTTAACACCTCGATCAAACTGATCACTTTCATCAATTTGATCTTCCTCTTAAAGATAATCACTTGGTGATTGAAACACGTGTCGAGGTGTCGAAATAACAGTTTGGTGTTGGGAAAAAACTCCAGTAATATTCATTACTACATCAAAGGTTCCATCACAAGTATTATTCGAATGTCTATCGCCACACTAGATCGCTTTGCATACCGCACTGTAACTGGCACTTGACTGTGTTGATATGCTCGGGGCTAGCGTTTATATATCGTAATCGAATGCGCTAGAAAATTTCGCCGAAATTCCATCGAAATAGGTAGCATTATTCTCGCTACATTTAGAGCGGCAGTGGACATCGTACATTCGCGCGCTCTTGGCTATGTCACGATTGGTTTATGGCTACCAGTGGTGGCCGGCATTATTTTCTTCAGGGTATGATTTACAACATCATTATTAAAAGGGTATCGAACTAATTGAACGTCACTGAGAAGTATAGAGCTGAAAGCAGATTATGTTGAAANATATAAACCTAAAAATTTTGTTGTTTCAACATAATTCAATTCAAAATATTCATTTTCTAAACAAAAAACAATGTAAATAATCAAACAATGCATTTGCTTTCCTTCCATACTATTCAAGTTGTACTAGCTGTGCTGAGTAGGAGATTTGTAAACATATTGTCAGTTCCTTTCAATTTATTTTTGATGATTTATTGAAATTTAATTTATGTTGGAGCCAAACAGGTCCTAGACTGTATCCCTGAGGTACACCATAGGTTATATTCATCAAGGAACTTTTATGATTTACAAGATGAACATTTTGTTTCCTTTTAATGAAATAATTCTGGAACAATTTGAGAACATTTCCTCCAATGCAGATATTAAAGTCGCATGTGCATAAGTGTTGCAAAAATTCTGGAAAAATGTGAAAGAACAAAATGATTCGTTAATTTTTCATATTGTTTTTTGCAAATCAAACTGAATTCAATCTTGCATTTTCTATTTCAGATTGGTGGAGGTACAGCAAAAATAGGAGATCCTAGTGGAAGAAATACTGAACGTGAGCAATTGTCAAGATTATCTATAGATGACAATATAGTGGGTGTATGTGAAAATATAGAAACAGTATTCCGCAATCATGAAAAGTACCTTTGGAATGAAAAAGACCCTCTTATACCATTAAGGTAGTGAGTTTTCCAATAGCAACAGAATTTTAAATTACTGCTTTATTTCAAGGATAGTCAACAATGAGAGTTGGTACAGTCAAATGAATGCAATTGAACTAATTGCTGGAGCAGGGAGGTATATGAGAATGGGAACATTAATGTCGAGAACTAGTGTACAAAACAGGCTACAGTCACAAGCAGGAATGAGTTTTACGGAATTCAGTTACCAGTTATTTCAGGCTTATGATTGGCTACACTTGTTCAAAACGTATGGTTGTTCCTTCCAGGTGAGCAAAATCCCACTGTATATACTTACATTTTTTCAAAAAGTGTTCCACCATCTTTTGTACGAAAGGAAATTTGACTTTAACATCATACTGCATGTCACATGACATTCTTTTAATTGAATTGAAACGTTTTGATATCATAGGAAATTCTTTTTTTTTTTATTCAGAGTTATCTAACCAATATTTCAAATGAAAAAAATTAGAGGATTTAATCTTTTAAAGAAGTACCTACGCAGGGTTACTATATAGGGGGTTGCGAAATAGAGTTGACTTTAGATGAGGGGATACCTAAAGAAAGGTGGAAGGTGTGGTTGTAAAAAATGTTGGCATCAGTGATATAGTGACATCAGTGTTGAAGTTACTGGTACCGAATTTTAGAATTAATAATCACTTTGGGTGTTTAGTTTATGACTTTTCCAAAAGTTTTTTTGGTGACTATTTCATCATTGATAACTGTACCACAGTTAATGTAGTCTCTTTATAGTATAGAGTGTATTAGCAATTGCAAACTTTTATCAATCAATTCAGTGAGAATGATGTATTTAGCCTTAATAGTCTCACACTTAGAATATGGCTAAACTATTTGGTTACCATTTGATACAAATCACTGTCACTTTCAATAAATTAATTTGTCATGTTTTAATAATGCTAGTGATCAAATTTCAAAATAAACTTTTCACAAAGATGTATAGATTATGTACAAAAGTTTCTTTCAGGCACAAACTGGAAAAAAAAAATCGAAACCAAAACCCATTGAACACTGAATTACAAGAATATCATTTTTTCCTAGTCTGTACTCCAAATATTCATTATGAAATTGAAATAGATTCATCTTCTTTAAAAGAATTTTTTTATGGAGGACTCAAGTTTTCCTACTGTTTTTTTTTTGGAGATAACATTCTACAATCTGAGGAATAAACAAAGCCAAATCAATAGAGAACCTGCCGAAGGGCAAACTGAAAAGTTCACCCCAAAAGTTGCTGGGTAATATAAACCATTGAAGAGTCCAATTAGTCAGTTACATATATTCATAAATTTTGCCCACAATACGAAAAAAAATTAAAAATGTATACTTAACTTTCTTTAGTGGTCGACATTTCGAAAAACATTCTATTTTTGTTTTTGAAACCCACCTTATTCTTTTAAGGTATGTCAATATAATATAATTGAATTTCAATTTTTTTTCATCGATCGATCAGCTCGAAATTCACTCAACTTACTTGCACTCATTATTAAGGCACTGTTTCTACTCCATTGACGAATATTTGAACAACTATCGTTCAATTATTGTTTGTTATTATATTTGATTACAGTGTTCACATAATTTTTAACTACTGATGATTCAAATGATTTCATTCCAGTCTATTCCAAAAATTTGTTTCTAGACTTGCAGGTTGAGTCCTTCAACAGTCACATACTAAAGCCTTTCGTATGCAAAAAAAAGCAATCCGGATCATAGCCAATGTTTCTTACAGAGAACACTGTCGTCCTCTATTTCAAAAACTCAAAATTCTACCCTTGCATGTTTTTTTATACTCTATAACATTTTAGAGATTCACAAAAATAATACTAAGTACCTTACAAATGCTGAGTTTCATAATTACCCTACTCAAAGAGGCGTACACCTGAGGCCTCAATTTTATAGACTGGATCTATCAGCTCGAAATTCACTCAACTTACTTGCACTCACTATTAAGGCACTGTTTCTACTCCCTTGACGAATATTTGAACAACTATCGTTCAATTATTGTTTATCAGTTTGACTTGTCACTATTGTACATTGTGTAGTGATGTGATAAAATAAACTTTGATTATTTTTATTATACTATCCCCTTCAAGTATCGTATTATATTTTAGTTTATGTCACATACTTCTGTTTTAGATAGGTGGAAGTGACCAAATGGGCAATATTATGTCGGGTCATGAACTAATTAGTAAAGCCTGTGAAAAACCTGTATATGGTGAGTATGAAAAAAGAACCGCTATCATGTTAGTTTTCTGATTGGACTGATTTATTTGTATACTATCAGTAATGAAACTGTTTGAATGGATATGCAACTTCATCATGACAAAAATAATTGCTTTTTTCAAGTTATATGGGAAAATCTCAGTTGAATTCTTTTTGTAGTTTTCTGAGGAGGTCTCATTTGAATGCCATGTCTAGTAAACTGTTTAAATTTTTATTTTAAAGTGACAAAAATTTTTTACAATTATAGGTTTAACCCTTCCATTGATAACAACCGAAATGGGAGACAAATTTGGTAAATCAGCCGGCAACGCCGTGTGGTTATCCAGTGACAAAACATCCTCGTTCACATTCTACCAATTTTGGATGAGGCAGCCTGATTCTGAAGTCGAAAAATATCTCAAAATGTTCACTTTTGATTCATTAGGTGCTATATCTGACCTTATGAGGCAACATCGAGAAAAACCAGAGCTGCGACTGCCTCAGAAGAGACTTGCTGAGCAAGTGACACTTCTTGTACATGGAAAAGAGGGTTTGATAAAGGCCCAAAGAGCCACTAGAGCTCTATATGAGGGTAGTATAAGTGCATTAGGACAAATAGATGCAAAAGATGTTTCCAGTTTGTTTGGGGGTGCAACAATTGTTGAAGTCTTACCTGAAGCTGGACAGAGCATTCTAGAACTGGCAATGAAAGTGGGATGTTTCCCAACAAAGGGTTGGTAGTACTTAACTCATGTTTTTTTTTTTCTCATAATGAGATACCCTTATTTGTATCTATTTAAAAATAATTTGTTACTTATTTCAGAGGATGCAGTACGGATCATTTGTGCTGGAGGCTTCTACATCAATCAACAAAAGGCAAGTAATCCAAGTGAAGTGATTAATATCAATGTTCACAGACTGGAAAATAATATTTCTCTACTCAGGGTAGGCAAAAAAAATTATTATCTAGTTAAATGGCTGTCTTGATAGAAATTCTTAATATTTGTTTTATTATATTTATGATATAAATATTGGAAGATCTAAAAAACTTTCATTTTCTCCCCAAGATAATAGTAACACCAGAAAACACAAAATGTCAACTGTAACAATTATGAAGAAATATACAAACATAGAAAATAATTCTGGACAAAGCAAAATATATGAATGAACATAGAAACCCACAAAGGGTAAGCCTGTATGTGGGTAACACAATTTTAAACAGTTTGCATTGACTTAGCTTTTTGTTCTGGGTAGGCAATGTTAATAACTCTGGGGAGCATTATGGCTATTCACAGTCTGTCAGCCATGTAATGTTGCAGAATCATCCCAACTTCAACTAGATAAATTCTCTCAAGAAAAAGATCTAGTCGAGGTGTGTATTTAAGTCTTGACCTTTTGATCGTGAGTCAGGCGCACTACCACCGCGTCAATTTACTGCTGACAGCTAGAATTGTTTTTGTCACGGTGGCGTCACACTGAGTACAAAAAAAGAAAATAATATAATCAAGTAGTTTGAAATTTGATGGTTGTAGTTGTTGTTGTGGTCATATTATGACTTTGAGTTGTTATATGTCAATTAAATCCTTCTGATTAATATATGATAAAAGTGGAGATAAAGTTGTTATGCAAAACATTTTGGTCTTTCGAAAATAAATATTAGCTATGGATGGAAAAAGAAACTGCAGTCCAAAACGAGCTGGAGCTGGTGCATAAAGAAGTCTCCTAGATGATTTCATACGGCCCAGAGGTTTTGGTTCAAGAGGTGATGGAATACTTAGAATATTGTGATTCTGTATTATTTTCATCAAAAATTCAAAATTTTCAAGTAGATGTTGATGTTATCGCCAAAATCAAGCTGGCAGGAAATGTCTTATGGTCCAGGAAAAACTTCAGTTGATTCTTTAAAAAAGTCCCAGGTATGTCTAGGTCTTCAAAAGAAATGGTTAGCAGAAAAGGATAAGCAGGACTTGGAGAGGGAGAAAAAGCAGGAATTGATCGAGAATGAAATGAAGATGTTGCAGCTGGAACACAACTGAAAAAAGCTAAATTGGAAGCAGATGAATTGAATAATCTGGGAGCTGAAAACCATCGGGAGGTAGATAGATAGATAGAAAGATTTTTATTTGATCACGTTATGAATATACATTTGTGACAAGTCATAAACAGTTGGTACAAATTAGTGTGCAAATAGAGTAAACAATATAAAAGCAGCATTAAATGAATCGAATTATAAAAATAAAGATTTCTCAAATATATAAATAGATGTATATGTAAATAATTAGGCATATTGTCGGTCTATTTAGTCCGAATGTGTACTTTGCATGAAATATAGGACAGAATAAAAACAATTTTGTATATAAGGTACTCTTTGATTTTCCTTTTGAACAATTTAAAACTTAATTCAGTCACATTATATGGAAGTTTGTTGAATAATTTTATGTTCAAAGAATTTGTAATGACATTTTCAAGTCTAAATCTTGGATGTCTGAGTGGTCCCGCTTTTCCAGTTTCATAATTATGATGATCTGAGTATTTGGAGAGTAGTATTTTGTTTTTATGTATCTCTAACAGTAAGTAGAAAATCAACATACACGGTTAAAAGTGGTTGAAAGTGTGCGTCGAATGAAGCTCCAGCTATAATTCTGACGGCTTTTTTCTGCAAGCAAAAAGCCAAAGGAGTATCCCATTTGAAAGGTGACAATAAAATACGAAGTGAGAAGAATTTTATGGCTCAATGTTTTTTTCAATTGGCAAAGTAGAAACAACTGTGTCGAGAGTTTTTTATAGAGATGGTCAATATATCATTCCCATCAAAGCGAATCATTTATAATTATACCTAATAATTTGCCTTGAGCTTTGGTTGTTACCCTGATATTGGAAAATATAATTATTTTCTGAGTTTTTCCCTGTTAAGTTTCAGTTTGTTGGATGTAAATCAGTATTCTGTTTTGTCTTCAGTTTCATTGGCATTTACAGGTAAATTTGAGATATCAGAATTTGATTGCAACATTGTGATGTCGTCGGCAAAGCAGATTACTGTACTTGGTAAAAGGTGATAGAATATATCATTTATCTAGATTATGAAAAGGGGTGGACCCAAGATGGATCCTTAAGGTATTCCATGATGCATAGACCTTTTATCTGATAAATTACCATTTACGTATACTGCCTGCTTGCTAGATAAGAGATAAGACTGAAAGAATTTCAAAGCTGATCCTCTGATACCACAAAGTTCAAGTTTCTCTGGTGTACACAGTCGAAAGCTTTGCTCAGATCTCACAATGTTACAACAGTATGGTCTCCATTTTCCATGTTTCTGATCATCTGTTGGATGACTTCAAGTACTGCTTCAGCGGATCTATTTCTGATGAATCCAGACTGATGTTCATGTAGAATATTGTGTTTATTCAGAAATAGCATTAAATGTTTTGTCACGATAATTTCATCGATTTTTTCCAAAAAAGGTATAATTGAAATAGGTCTGTAATAATCAGAAGAATTCGGGTCTTTTTTTTATGAATGGTATCACCGCTAATTTTGAATACATCTGAAAAATGTCCTCATTGAAACAGCGATTTATGATGACTGTTAGAGGTTTTACAAGAAAGTTCATATTTTCTTTGAGGATTCGTCTGTTTAAATGATAAATGTCATAACAATTTGTGTTTTTAAGTTTATGAATTGCCTCCACACATCTTCATGAACCACGGGAAGCATGAAAAAAGAATCACGTGGTTTGGAAAACTATTTAAATAGTCTAGAGTATTGGTATTACATGCTGGAAGATATTTAATGATATATTCGGCTAAATTTGAAAAAAATATATTAAATTAATTTGGATTGATACTAGTAGTATTTTTATGAACCTTATTTAAGGAATTTCGTTCAAAATTGATCAGTCTCCATGTATCTTTGACTTTGTTTTTTGACATCCGAATAAAATGGTCGTGAGTTTCTACTAATACTTCTAATGGGCTTTCATCATCTTAGAAAATATGCCAGATAATAAGTTGAAGAGCTTGTTTCATACCATCTAAACCCTAGAAGATGTGGGATATTCTAGAGGGAGTAGTGATCTTGGGTTTTAGACCAAAAGAATCTAAAATATTTAGCCAAGTTTTAGAAATGTAACTCATTTTATTCGTGTCAATATTGAAATCTCCAACGATTATCGTTTTGTATTGATATATAGCAGGGTTTCCATATCGAAGGCGAGTTATATTGATAAACATACCTCATTTGTTGATTAGATAAAAAATGGTACACCTTTTCAGTCTGATGAGAATGAAATGCTAACACAAACTGTCAACCTCGAGATGTTAATAATTTCCTTTTCCAAACAATTCATTTGTCATCAAGAAGGTTGTACCGTCTGGACAAGACAAATTGTTAGCCAGATACATAGTCGATAAAGATTTCCCTGTTTTTGATGAATATCCTGAAGACTGGCCACTGTTTCATCAGACATATATAATGTGTGGCTATACACCCAATGGAAAACTGATAAAATAACAGGTGTTTGAGGGGTGACGCCGAATTTGCTGTAACAGGTATATTATTAACCTCTGAAAATGTCAATCTAATTATAGGAACGTTATGAATCCAACGTGAATTGCTACTTTTACATAGGCCTTAGTGCTTCTGTAGTGCTTGTGTTCTGTCCCTGAAAAAAATACGTTTGGAAGGTCGGTGATCACAAGAATGAAAACAATTCCACCGTTACGTGAAATCCATATAGAAAAAGTAATAACACTGTCTCAAGAGGTGAGTAACCTTGTTTCAAAGTAAAAGCTCCCCATGCAGATAACTATCTGAAAAATCCCCAACTTCTGAAGAAACTCTTAGCGGGATTACTTGATTCATTGAAGCAAGTAGGGAGAGGAAATCATGCTAAGATATACTGAGATTTGTTTGTAAGATTGTTCTTAATGGTTAGAAAATATTGTGACAGCAGCAAGCTGTGTGAGTTCACTGAAGGTGTCCACATCCTACAGTAGAAGTAGACTTCTTTCAAAAAAATAGAGGCATTACTGTATACTGAAGAAGTTGTCAAATAATATAAGTGTTCTTACTGTTGTGGTGAGCACGAAGAAGTCCTTTTTCTGTTTTGAAGTCTGATGATGTGGAAACACGGTGGAAAACAATACTTGTTGAAAATTTGGAAAACAATAATTGTTAAAAAGTTCTGTTTTTGCTGTCTGAAAATTGAGTGCCACAAACCAGTTGAAATATTTTGTGATACTGAAACGAAATAACATGAAGCTACTGAAAATATTATAATAATTGCAGAAGCTCTGTTCACACAATCACTGAAAACCGAAACCTTGTTCGCAAAAGCTGAAAATACTGTAAATTCCACTAATTCACGTGCCCATCCAAACAATCTGGATTTCTTACACTTAACCATTTTCTGCGTGGCTTCATGATATTGAAGAAAGAGCATGCACATCTGATTTAAGTGATGAAGTTATTTGAAAAGAATGTCAAAAATCTCAAATGCTTACTCTGATGTCTTCTGGAAGAGATAGACGCGAAAATACCTAGGCTAATAAAACGCGCAAAATGGACAGACGATAACCAGAAAGTAGAAATATTCCAAAAAAAAAACTAAGAGATGAGAGACTGGATGAGACCGGTAGGAGTCATTGATCTACGAACCAAATCGACTCTTTTATGCCACTGCAGATTATACTTTTATATTTTGACGGTGAAGAAAATGAGGTTTTCTCACCAAGGGAAAATATGGAGTCTCACCTATTAGGTACCAGAAAAGATGTAAGAAACAAGCAGTTCAAGTTTGATAGTCGTGGTCATATTTTGATTTGGAATTGTTATGTCACATTAACGTTATTGTACGTTTTCATCTAGAAGCCCCCTGTACACACTGATTAATCAAGCTGGGAATACCGACTGGTCATTAAACGGTTCAATGTCGACGCACCTATGCTTTCACCTAGCACAAATACAATGATTCTCACGTGTCCCTCACTTCATTGAAGTGTCTTGCAGGAAAGGGAGCATTTATACTTTTTTATGAAGCTAAGAGCTTCAATGATAGTTAATTTTTCATTATGTTAATTTTTTTCATGTTATTTTTTCAAATTTTCATTTAAAATTTGAGTAGACTAACTAGTGTACTTGATTTTTACTTATCATTCCTGTATGGGGAAACATTGTTTTTTACTTTATGTTTTAATGGCTAATTCATACACAAAAATTTATCAGAATAAAATATGATGAAGCTGGATTCAAGTTTTTATATGAAACACTGGATTCAAACTGTAAGAGCAGAATTGATATAATATATATTTCAACTAATTGTTTTCTATATCAACCAATTCGAATATTTTGATTATTGGAGTCTCCAATAACCATTTTTTATTTTGGATTTAAAAAGAATTTACGAAATTGAATTGGCAGGGTATAGCACTTTGCATTTTGGGAGCAAGATAGATGTGACTGTGTTGCGCAATAGTTTAACAATCTTGTATTACTAATCAAATTAGGTTTATATCAGGTGTTATCATTCACCTATTCACTTCTTTACGCTGATGAATAAATCAGAGAGAATGCAAATATTTTCCTGATATTCATCTATTAAGATTCGTTGTATAGGTCATTACTTTGGTAAGTTTTTTTATTTGCTTACAAATTTAACAATTTTTTTATTGTTGGTGTCTGCATTTCACACAAGTTTGATACCAAGATATTCAACGATTTAATAGAATTTTAATTGAATATGATACTCCTGGGGTACACTTCTAAAACAGTTTGCACATTTTTGACTATTCAATAAAAAATAATAAGCTCACGAGAAATGCTCATTTAAGTTTCATCAATGCATTACTCTTATTTCATGAAAATTCTCGTTAGATATTTATTACAATTGAAAACAAGAATGTACAACTTCCTATTAAAATTCACAACATGAGACATATGCATAAATCCACCTCAAAAATATATTCTCAAAATTTAAAACTTGTAATTTATAAACTTTAATTTTCAATACAAATTAAAATAATCAAACCATGAATTTTCAATCATTAAACAGGTATTTGTCCAATAACATCATGAATTTTAGACACCAATGCATTTAGGTGGTCAACGTGTATTTGTGAATGCACTGAAAGATCATTAGTGATCTCACTCACATCAAAGCTATGAGTATACAAAGTGTGATTAAAAACATACAGTAATATTCCCATTGGTAAATAAAGTCTATTTTTCATCAATCTTTTGAAAACACTTAAGGCCTCATTATTATTGGTATAGAGAACTTTTAGTTCGAAGAACCATTGGTTCCTTGTCAAATATAACATTTCAAGGATGTCCATACATAAGGGAATTATAGTGGCTTTAATCTTGCTCTCTTTCTCAAATTTTACAATGAATGTGTTCAAATCGTCCACATCATTCACCAAAGGTAAACAATTGTCTAGTACTTTGAGGATTTCCATTTCTTTCAATTTGAGCGTTTTGGAACTTACTCTTTGGCCCGATATTTTTCTCAAGACAGATTCAATGTATTTGGATTTCAGATCCTGATCCCCTATGTATTTACTTGATATGAATACTGTAGCCACAAGGGTGAGGGCTGGGTCATTTATATCTTGTTGCATTTGAGTTTTCCTGGATATGTATTCTTCAAGAATATTAATGGAAAAAACGAACACATGAATATCTTGCCTGAGCATGCTGCAAACTTCCTTAAGCAAAATGCTACATCTTATGTCCAATATAGGCTCTTTGTATTTAGCTTCATTACTTTGCATTTCAGACAACCATTCTGTTAACAATTCCGATTCAAATTTACTTAAACTCATTTTTAAATTTTTGTGTCTGAATAAATTACAAAGCCATTTATTTTCTGGCTAGCAATAATTATAAACTATGAAATTCAAATTCTCCCAACAGAACCTACAGAGATTTTAGATCTTCAAAGAAGGTGTTGGTATCTCAACGTCCAGTGTTGTCAGAAATGTTTTCGGAGCCAGTTATATGAATTCCGTTCAGTTTTCACCTGACGATTAAAACCACTGAAATTGATTTAACATTGAGGTTCAGTGATTGAAATTCGGTTTCAACTCAGGTTTTCGCTAAGGATTGAACTGGGTTTATACGTGATTCCGATTTCGACCATTTTTTAAATTTCGTTTGTTACAATATCCCTCTAAAGTGTGATGCTACAATTAAATAAAACTCAAGCTCCAGTTTCTAAAGAACAAAAACGTTTTCAACTAGTTTAGGGTAATAATAAAATTCTCTTCAATTGATTGGATGCTCCAATAGACGTATTATTTGTAGAAACAATATTTCAATAGATTGTTTGGATATTCTGGGAAGAATTGAATATTCATTATTTCATAAATTAAAGTTATTTGGCCTGTCTTCCTCATCATGCCAAATAGTTCTCCATCTCAGGCAAGTATTTACCCGAGTTTAAACCCTAACCCGAAGTGTAACTAGTATCAATATTTTTATATCACCGTTCAACGAGAGAATGTCGAAGTCCAGCTTATCTTTGACCGAAACCAATTCTCAAATGTTAGGTTGAAACTACTTACGTTTTGGTAGAGTTCAAACCAAATCTAGAGTTTAAAACGAACCTTTTCAAGTAAAAAAATAATCGACAAATCAGGCTCAAGAGAAAATTTCAAAAATTCGTAAGTATCTTTGTCTGTTATTCGAATAATTTCATTGAGGATCTTCTACGTGTACGATACCACAGAACAGATTCATGTTCTGTGAGGATAGTTAATAGTAACATCTCCACCTCGTGGACAAAGCCCCAAGTGCGTATAATCAATTTGACAGTTCCCAGTTACAGTCGTTGATATCGCAAGAAATTGAGGTTAGAAGGAAATACGTACCTGAACATTTGAATTATTTATTATTAGATTTAAAGTAATATTTTTTAGAATGTCGGTAGCAGATAAACTGCAACTTGGCCCAAGGGATGGTGTAACTTATCCAATTCAAGTTGTTTATTGCGGGAATTGTTCTATGCCCATAGAGGTTGGTAAACGTGGACTTCACTTAACAAATTTTAATATATTAATTTCATTTAGTACTGCGAATATTATCCAGAATATGATAAATGTAAGCAATGGCTAGAAAGATATTTACCATCAGAATTTGAAAAAGTTAAAATTGGAGATGACAATCCAGTGGAAGAGGAAAAGAAAAGGCAAAAACGAGGTGGAAAAGGAATGATTAAAACAAAGAAAAAGGAGGATGTTCCGAAACAAGTTTGTGTTTCTAGGGCTCCAAGGGGCAAAAAGAAGTCAGTCACCGTAGTTACTGGATTAAGTAGTTTTGGTACGGTCATTTTTATGTACATTTTAGTGATTGCGGAAAATACACATATTTGTCTGCTGATCACAAATCTGAAGTCAAACCTTGGCGCCCCAGTCTACCATCAGAGATACGTCACTCAAAAGTTGAAACTCACTTTGCTTATTAAAAACTCTTGAAATGATTCATTCTGAACCTATTCAAAATTTTTATTTATCTATTATTAACATGTATATGGTACTTTCTTCTAATGATAACACATTCCCAATACTAATTAACACGTTAAATAAGTTGTCTAAAACTACATTGAACACACCCAATTGTTAAAATATTTTAATTGGGAACTTTTTTTAGATTATGGTTAATGTATTGTTACATTATGAACTCTAAACTGTATTATGGTTGTCATTCCCTGGGAAAACGTTTAGCTTTCTTCTTTTCTATCTTCATACAAAAAATATAGGAGAGTTTTAAAGAAAACTAATAAGTTCAAAATTACCTCTTTACAAAGATGTGTAGATCATGCATAGAAGTTTCTGTTGAACACAACCTGAAAGAAAAAGCTCTTTCCAAACAACTACTTTTACATGAACATTGAGTTACACAAAAGAATAAGTTCTTTCAAAACAACACTTTCATATCAGCATTGAATTATAAGAAAATCATTTTTTCCCCATTCAATTTCTACTCCAAAAATTGTTATGGAATCGAAACAGATATTAATACGCATTCCGTTCTTGGTCCAATACTTTTTCAAGCCTACATAAATTCTCTACTCTGTTCGAAAGTAAAAGCAAGAATTATATCATACGCTGATGATATGGTTATTCTCATGAATCTGTTTAAAATCTGTTTTTCCGTTAATCAGCTGTCGCCCCCATACGAATGACAACTCTCAGAAGTTGAGAAACTTGTGGTTGAGTATGTATCGTTTTTCATTAAACGCTAGTAAAACCCACTATCTTGCTTTCTCTATAACATCAGACCACAGACCACATTTCTCTAATACTAAAGTTCCAGGTATAATGGAGCAAATCAAAGAAATAAACAAGGTCAAGTATTTGGGCATAATTATTGACAATAATTTGAAATGGCTAATATATAAATTTTACCAGCTACAAAGTTTCTATTGAAAAATATACTCATATTAATTTACAAATCTCTAGCTGAATCACTTTTTCGTTATGGTATTCTGGTGTGGGGAGCAATGTACGTAATACTGAACATAATATAGAACTATATTCTGAAAATAATCTTGAGAAAAAATATCATATCACACTAATCTTTAAATTTTCAGATCTTAGTAATATTCGAACATTATACTTTCATAGTTTATGTATTAATGCATTCATAAACAAAACATTTCATAATTATGTTCCCACAGTTCATTTCACTAGAAGTACAACAAACGAATTGCTACCTACCCAATCCAAAATTTGATAAAAATATTTGTCATCGCTTTTTAACTTACACACTACCTAAAATTTAATATTCTACCACTAAGGATAAATTAAAAATTATAAAACCTCTATAGAATCAAAAAAATGAATCTTTGAAAATTATTTTGAATTAATCAAAATATTAGAAAGAACACAAATAGATTCACTGCCAATAAATTGTTTCCTAACTCTCTGTGCACAATTGTAATTTTATATTGATTGGTATTACAGCATAACACAAGTGTTGAGTCACTTAGATGCTATTTTATATACAATCTTTACTTTATGTACTGCAATTACTGTCTTTATATCTGTCTCTTCGTTAGTGTTTTATTCTTGTTTTATGTATTTTTTGTGTATCAATTAAATAAATGAATTATTTACAAGAACCCTACACAATCTGATATATGGAAGAATATTAATATAAAGTTTCACTCCTTAAGGTATACTTTTCGAAGTTTTGAGTCTGAAACACCTGTCTTCAACGCCGCATCAGCATCCATTTAATCTTTTCAATTCGATGCTTTTATGAAATTAGTTCTTTCGAAAGTACGTTTTCTTTAGTGTAATTCAATTTCATTTGAAAGTAGTTGTTTGAAGAGTTTTTCAGATAGTGTGAGAGAAACTTCAGTGCATGATATACACATCTTTATTTGACTTGATTACTTTCTTCCTTTCTTCAGAAGTTTCCCACATTTTTTGTATATAAGGATCCAAAATTTTTTTTCCACAAAAGCAATCTCTTTCAACAAATATTCTTCTCTCAATTTAGTGGTTAGTGTTCTGAACAACCACACATTTTGATAAAGAATTCCTTTTATTTTTGAAATTCACTAATAGGGAAAACACCATGTTACGATTTTGAGTCAATTTAATAAAATTCGTCAGCACTTCAATAATTAGTCTCTAAAGACATTTTTTATATTCCATGTTTCTACTCTGATTATCAGTCAATCAAAATATTCCAGTATGGGGAACATTAGTGAGAGCAATTACTTATCATTCATTATTACCATATAGAATTTACTTACTATGAAATATAAAATACCCATAGTTCATTAGTTGTAAAAGCAACTATTTGTGCAGTATAATGGAATTGAAACAGTAACAAGGTTTCATTAAACAATGTAAACTGTAATATGTCATCAATTAGCCTCAAAATCCAAATATTGGCGAAGACACTCGTTTTTATGGTTAATCACTTATTTCATTGATGATATGTGTATTCTTCCATCAACTCAAATGTACTTCTTTGTTTGTTTCTGCAAATGAATACAATTGATTATTTCAGCTTTCTTTTAATTGAATCATTACACATACTACAAAATTACAAACATGAAATCGGTTGTGAAATGATAAAGCTATATAAATTTGATTTCACATTTATTTCTGGTTTAATTCTGTAATACTGCCAACAGAACCAACTTACTTGTGAACCTTTGATTTTATTAAGATGTCTATTTTTCAAATTTTAGATATTGACTTGAAGGTAGCTGCAAAATTTTTTGGTACTAGATTTGCCTGTGGATCGTCTGTAACAGGTGACGATGAAATTGTTATACAAGGAGACGTGAAAGACGATTTATTTGACATTATACCAGAAAAGTGGCCAGAGGTATTCAATTCAATTCTTAGTCTTTCAGGTCCTCATCACTTTTTTCGTTTCAGATTGACGAAGACTTCATTGAAGATTTAGGAGATCAAAAGAGATAATGTGCTAATCATACTGTACTTGTAAGTTATAACTTAGGAAGATTGTACAGTGGGAAAATGTTCTTATCTGCAGATATCGACTTTAGTTGACATTCATAATAATTTAATGAAGCATGTAACTGGAAAAAAAATATATTCCATGCAAGACTTGGTATAATGTACATTACATAAGCTTTGAAATATTTCTGTTTTTCTCTTTCTCCTTTTATTGGATAAGAAAAAGAATTGTTTTGATCCCTCAATAAGGCGTATTTGAGAGTACGTCTTTTATATTTTATCTGTTCAGTTAAGAGTACTTATATTTTATTACACAATACAAACAGTAAACTCATCTGTCTGAAATATATTTGGTTGGTCTTGAATAAAACACATTACTTCAGTGTATCAGTTCTATTACTGAAAAATTTATATCGTGAACGCGTACAAGAACTCCGTGCTTTTTTTACATATATAATGATAAAACTGTTTGATCTTCCTCTTGAAGATGATCACTTGGTGATCGAAACACATGTCGAGGTGTTAAAATAACGGTTTGGTGTTGGGATAAAACTCCAGTAATATTCATTACTACACCAAAGGTTCTCAACAGTGCATCACAAGTTTCTAACTGAATTATTTGGATTGACTATATTAATATAATCATGTAAAAAAGTCCCCTTCCAATTTATTCCTTAACGAAACAACTTCATTTCTTGAAGACATAAGTAAAACATTTTGATCATTAACAAAAAAAAAGTACTTTCAATACCATTTCACAAAAACAGGTGATATCACAGTTGATTATATTTATCTTGATAACTGTTATTCTGGTTCTTCTTCGTCTTCATCATTTTGGTTTTTAATATGGGGGAAGCACTTTGCAATAATTTCCAACATGTTTTCTACTTGTTCTTCTGTTAATCTTTCTTCACTTTCTTCGATTAACTGTAATAGCATAGTGGAATTATTAATCATAGTGAAAATCCATGCAGTGTTTTTTTTAATATGCTTTTTCTACACATTGGAACAGTGTCAACAATTTCCATTCTGATATTTAAGGTGAACTTTCAGTTGGATCCTAATCACGTTTTACTGGTCAATTTCTAAAGTGAATATAATTTACTGATAATAATAACTTCGATAATCCCAAAAAACATATGTATACAGGGAATAAAAAAATCATAAAAAAATATATAAAATAAATTATTCAGTCAAATCCAATGGAAATTTCAATATAAATTCCAAGGAATGATTCACTTGAATCTGGTATTCTATTGCAAAATCAATTTTTAATTAACTATTACTTGTCATCAACAGATGTGTATTGACCTCTAGAAATGGTAACTGATAAATACATTTCATGGTTTTCAAGACAGATTTTGTTGCAGTACTCCAAATGGATATTGAATATTGTAATCTCGAACAAATTAGATTTTTAATGTGTGTAGGCTTAGACCATGTCAAAAGTTTGATCGATGTATGATCATCGAAATTTCAAGTTTTTCGTACTCTAAATTCTACAACTGCTTGAAGTAAGAGGAGCTATCGTTAGTACTTTATGAATGCAACTTTCAAACAATTTTTCTTCACCCATCCACCTATTTCCTTAAAAAGTTTTTTTGATGTATCTTCCCTTGTTTAAAACAGAACTTTAGTCATGATCAAAGAGCAGTCAGGAAGATATATGAAAGTATTAGTGTTTGGAATTCTATAAAGTTCTTTGAAATAAAGCTATGTTAACAGTTTTCTTGTGTAGAAACAGTAAATTCTCACATTTTTCAGTAGTTACTTACCAACTGAATTTCTAGAGCTGATGTAGGAGGAGAGTTAATAATCATCAATATCTCAGTCTTACTTAGATTAAAGGGGGCCAATGCCTTCACACATTCCTTAATACTCTCCGGAGTTTCCTGACTACATGGTGTTTCCTCCAAGTAGCGAATAGTCTGAAAATATATGACTCAGTACATGTACACCTCAATATAAATGCTCAAACCTCATATGTAATGGTAGCAAGTTGGCCGTTGGGTTTCATTTTACTGCTTTTCACTTTTTGTAAATGTTTTAGAACTTCAAAATTACTCAATGTAGCCGAATTACCCTTCACTCTAAAAAAAATAAATCAAAAACATTGTTCTGAAATGCTAATATATACTTACATCTCCATAGTTGTAAAATGTTTGGTTAAATTCAGATTACGAGCTTCGAAAGTTTGTTTATATTATTCAGACGTCATCCCCTTATTAAAACTAAAAATAAATTATAATCATAACCTAAGTTTTCAAGAATCCGAAATGAAATGTACCACATAAATAAAGAAGAAGATTTCTCTGGGAGAAATTACCCAGAATAATAATAACTCAGAGTGACAAAAGACAATAGAGAGGCCTTTTCAATCCTTACATTAAAGGCAGCATAACTTTGTTTGTTTACGGGAAGTAAGTTGGACCATAAAACAGTGGCGGTTGGTTTAGTTGATAATCGGTGGGATATTATATATTTATAAAATAAATATTGTAACGAATCTGAAGCCGCCTCTGACAGATATGCCGGCCGTCTCGTCGAACAAACACATGACCTCGACTCGAAAGACTATTAGTGGTTATTTTTTGGAGAACAGTATGTGGATTATCAATTTATTGGACATCGCTTTGCGCTAATCATACTAGAAACACAATTACTTTTTAGCCTGCTGTCAGCCCTACGTTAACTGATGATTACACCAAACACTAATCGAGAACGCCTTTTAACTGCTTGAGCTTGTAGACTAGTCCTCTTATTATAATTCCCAGAGTAATAATGAGACATAGAGTTGTCATGCCTATACCAATAGGCTTATACCATAGGCCTATACCAATACAATACATGTATTTTGAAGCAGTTATCGGACTATCCTTTTCTGTACAACTTATGGGCGAGGGGGGTGGCGGGTAATGAGATGTTATGGAAAGTTTGTTTACATTTGAAATCAGTTGGACCATAAAACAGTGGCGGTTGGTTTAGTTGATAATCGGAGGTAATACATTTTCACCTGAAATGATTTATTTTATAAATATATAATATCCCTCCGATTATCAACTAAACCAACCGCCACTGTTTTATGGTCCAACTGATTTCAAATGTAAAAAAAAAATCCATAACCTCTCATTACCCGCCACCCCCCTCGCCAATAAGTTGTACAGAAAAGGATAGTCCGATACCCGCTTCAAAATACATGTATTATGTATTGTATTGGTATAGGCACCGTACAGGCATGGCAACTCTCTCTGAGAATAATAAGAAGACTAAGACTAGTCTACAAGCTCAAGCAGTTAAAAGGTGTTCTCGGTTGGCGTTTGGTATATTAGTTAGGGAAGCTATGCATTATACTGTAGACGACCCCTCCCGATATAGAAGGCCCCGACACTGTCAAATGAGACCCCTATGTCCTCCGTTAAAAGATGAACAATTTTTTCATCCAACCCACCCCAGCCAGGTGGGTACACCGTGAAGGGCGGTACTATTGTCTGAGGACATTCATGCCGCCATACCATCAACACCCACCATCAGTTATGACCCGTTTGTCCTTCTGGCAAACATCAGTCCGAAGGGTAAGGGAGCCAGGCTCCCTTACCAAGACGACGTGCAGAGTACGTTTGGTATAATCAGCAGTTAACGTAGGGCTGGCAGCAAGTTAAAAAGTAATTGTGTTTCTGGTATGATTAGCGCAAAGGGATGTCCAATAAATTAATAATCCACATACTTTTCTCCAAAAAACAACCACTATAATAGTCTTTCGAGTCGAGGTCATGTGTTTGTTCGACGAGACGGCCGGCATATCCGTCAGAGGCGGCTTCAGATTAGTTACAATATAGATTTAAAACCTTTGTATGAATCAGTTTCCAACATATTCTAAATTTTCCAAAAAAAAGGCTTGTTTCGGTTTTCATTTTTTATTCTACTAAAAGTATTCGTTTTTCACAATATTTGGTGGAAACTTACCTTTCTGATATCCCCCCTTCCAAACATCTTTATGGTGAGCCGAAATAAATAAATTACAACAAAATCTATATCGATCATCCACTATAGGAAGTTCAATAACCAGATATGATGTATGTTATAAATATTTGAAATAAGTCAAAGGGTCCTTCCAAATCGTGGTTTCATGTGCTTCATGTTTGCAAAAGCATTTTATTTTACGACCTTTCATCAATTTTTCACCACAGATTCATAGGATGAACTATTCCCTATTTCCTCTCTAAACTTTGACATCACAAGTGGTTTTGTGCTCTTAGGCAAATTCTCATTTGGGGTCAGACATCAAACACTGTATCTCTTAATTAATATAGTCCTTAACTATTTCAAAGTAGGTACACTGAAAATATATCACAATAAAATCTCATTTTTATTTGGGTCCAAATAGAAACTAAAAAAATAAGCAGTTATACTTACAATTTTATGGTGAAATACAAGAAAAGAAAGTAAACTTTCTAACTAGTAAAATATTTCGAAAAAAAAAAATAAATATGTTGAATACAAAACTGCATAAGAGGAAGCGCATATGGGGAAAACCCAACATGTATCAAGTTTCGAATAAATGTGAAAGTGAAAATTGTAAAAAAAAGTTTGGCAACATATTTTGGAAGACGTCAATATTCGAAGTATTAAATTTGTATTCAGCATATCTAGACATTTTACAGATCTGATAGTGTATAATTAAAAAAAAAAACATTAACTTATGTGATATATCAGGACTAACAAATGCGCATGTTTGTTAAGTATCGAGGCCTGTTTTGGTTCTCAGTCAGGGCTGTTTCTGAAAGTCGCCCATGTGAATACTGAACAGTTATTGTGTAAATCTTTTTAGCCCACAAAGGACTTGACTAACTTTGGACGATTAGAAACAGTACAAACTGAAAGCTAGAATAGACCTTTTGTGTATATATAGTTTATACGACGTCAATCCGAACAGTTGAATAATACTAATAAAAAAATCCACGTAGGTTGATGAGAAATAAAATTAATTTTGAAAAAAAATGATACCACGCCGCCCATTCCATACAAAGAAACTGCCAACGTTTGGTAACTATTTAGTTTTTATGCCATTCGAATTGACTTCATATATACTTTACACTGTGGAAACATGATTCAATAAATTGTAAGTACCTCCCTCTCCTATAGATCAACAACTTCAAAAACTTCAGAGATCAGTAGGGTTGGAATGGTATTTCAGTTCTTTTATTTCAAATTTTGAAATATTTGGGCTTTCACTAAATGTTTTTCATTTTTAGCAACAGAAAATTTCTTGTATGAAAATTGTACTTTCACAATTAAAAATCCAAGAATATTCCAAAATCAATCTAAGAATACTGAATATATTTCACAATAATATTCCATACCGTATTTATGTTAGCGTTTTATGACAAATAACCTTAATACCTTTAATTGTTGATTTAATATGAGTATTCATAACAAGTTTTTTCCTAAACCTAAAGAACAATTCAGTGAAGAATTATAGATATACTAAAATCCTACACTAATGTTCTACCTACTTTCCTGTTCTCCATATTATATTATTTGATCACAATTGATTGACAAATGTGAATATCACCATAATTACCTAATATAATAAAAATACTCGACATTCACCGGTAAGCATCGAAGCAAGTAGTAAACACAAACATAATATTAGTTGTACATTCATTTGTTCATATATAACACTCCTGATATTTTGGCATATTGAGTTTTTTTTAACCTCATAATAATTAAATTTCAGTTAGTAATAGTAACAGACAAAGTAAAATTTGGATCAGATTCTGAAACAATCAATTTGATAAAAATGAGTTATTATCTTTACTATTTATTGTAATTTTACGATAAAATGAGCTATATTATTTACCATAAAATTTTCCACAAAAAAGGTCTGATGATTTTTTCCCCAATCAATCAAAATATACCTAATTGTCTAAGACAAAATCTTATTGACGAATCTTCATTTTTTAAAGTAAATAATTATTCAGTCATGTATATTTATATGTATGCAACACCTTCATAAATAAATACTTATTAAGATAAAAATATAGGAATATTATCACTTTCATATGCTCTCAGATTTGTTTGTAGAAGTCATTCTTTTGAAAAATTCCTGGAAATGTTTGACTTCTCAATTCCCTTCATGATAATACAATTGATAGTATCCACAATCCTTTTCAGTTTATAACTGGTTCAAGTACTTCGGTTTCCCCCCTTTCAGTTTTCTGATTCAGTGCGCTATAGTCCATGATAGCCTAGCAAAGTAAATGCGCAGCTTCTTTAAACCAGTGTTGCTCTCAGCGTACGATTTCAATTTCAGACCACTTCATATTATGTTGGAAGACAACCGAGAAAACTGGCTGAGATGCACTGAACTAGAAAACCTAAAGAAAAGAGGTTAGGTTAGGTCCAAAGTGAGTGGGTATATTCGACCCTCCACCGCAACCCGCGAGGATTTATCGTGGCTCACACATATTCACACTCGATCAAATAAACCCAGCTTCTTAATGCAGCCGATTAGTTTGTATGGTGAGTGGTCTTTCAGGTCAGATGGTAAGAGTACGGCTCTGCCGAACAATAAAAACCTGATTCGGTCCCCAGCGGGGCAGGCACAAAGTATTTGCTCTGCTGTTTCATTGTTAATGAGGTAGTCGGATAGTCAAGGTGCAAGATTGCCACCTTGATACCCACGACAACCTTCCCATATGAGGGTTTTTGCACGTCAGCTACACCTGACGATGCCTTACATTCAACCGTGAAGGGCTTATTCGCCTCTGGTTTTGATAAATCATTAGTTTCAGAGCTGAAAACATTTGCTAACCTGCTCATGGAGGGTTTGTTCCTCAACGTGAGACAGATGCTGCGTACGCCGCTCGAGAATTTGGTGCAAGGCGGTTTCATATGTTATCCCGCTCTTGAGGAAACGACTCAATCGTTTTCTGGCTGCACCATTAAACCTTTTTTAAAGGTTCAGTTATTGGATTAGGAGTTGAAGAGTTGAGAAGCTCTCGCTCCTGATCTAAATAATTTACAGGGAGGTCAGTTGGAGTCGTAAACTCGACATCCATCTCCTGTGTAGACTCAGTGTAGACTAGACAAGAAAACCTAAACAAAACAGGAAAAGCACACCAAATTAACAAACAAATAGTTTCTAGGTATCAGGAACAGACCAGTTATCACTTGAAGGCTACTGATACTAAAAATTGAAGTAGCTTTTCATGTCACAATAATTTGATTTCTTCAAAAATTAGTATTTTCATATTACATTTCATAGTCATTGTTTATTTTCTTACGTTTTTGGTTTTATTTTCAACTTTTTCAACTAACTCATTCCAATATTTCTGTTCTATTATTCTGCAATTTCATTCATTCTTTTTCCCATTCGCTTTCAAATAGTTAGCACTTTTTTTAGACAATTGAATAGTTTGGTAAAGGTATGCTTGAATAGGATATGCTCTATCACATTTCTTTTTAATGATGCATACAGTTTCCAGAATTTATTTTTAAAGTCATAGTCAGAATTAATAAATTGACAAAAAGAGACCTGAACTTAAAAAATCTTACTTATAGGTAAAACCTATGATATATAAAATCGGAGATACAAAGAAAATGTTGTTTTGCATCTTTGACTTTGAAAAAAATAACACTGCTCGGATTTGTTGAAAATTAATATTAGTTTTCGTAATAAAATAAAAATCCAGTAAAACATTTATCCAGCTGCTATTTTATTAGCAGATTTATCTGTCTATCGCTCAGGATTAAACAATGTTTCATTGGAATTATATACAAAAGCTTGGCCATAGAGAGTTGCTATTTACTATTAAAAAATATAATTGATACCACACGTATTGTAAATACTAATTAAATGCTTGTTTTATAAGAGAGCGCACGTCAAAATTCAGACCAGCTGAACTCGATATTTCTGTAGAAAGATTCACACTATAAATTACAAAATATTTTAACAAAAAGTGATGTCAGTTCATTGAAATATACTATTTCTAAAATAAATATTCTAATTCATGTCATTCTAAAATAAAATGTTCGCTCAGTAATCACTCAAAAGGGATTTTCTTGGCAGTACTATCAATTTGTTTTCAATACTGGGTAGAGATAATCCAGTATTGCACTATAATGAAAATAGGCAGCTAAAACCACAAACAGATGCCAGATTGCGTGAGCAAAAGGCAAAACACCATCACATTTGAAAAATATAATTCCCAGTAGGTACAGTAAACCTCCCATGGATAGTTCCTTCATTCCTAAAAAATGATGCTGAAAAAAAAATAGAATAGAAATTTATTCGTCATCAAAAATTTCATACATGTAGTACATACAAATATAAAACTTCATCAAACTAGTCAGAACAGAACATAAAGCAACTGCGCTTATCTATAGTTACAATGTCTATATATATGTTAGTAGTTAAGAAGACATATTAAAAAAATGCAAGAATGGTTATCAGCTTAAATTAGTTAAAATTGTAAAATCTAATTATTTGTACAAGTAAAATAAAGTAATTATACAAAAATACCTAGAGTTGTAGAAATTCTTCAGCTGAATAAAATGCATTTTTTGTAAGGTAGTCAGGTAAAGTACTTTTGAATTCAGTGAAACTACATATATGTTTCCAAATAGCTAAAGTGCTATATTATAGCAGATGATACCCTGATAACTTGAGGATCCCTGACCAAGAGCCAGTCAAGAGTATGGTAATTGCAGTTCATTACCATTCCGAGTGTGATGTTTATGTATCACGTTATTTTTAATGTAGCTTGATTCATATTTCTTGATATTCATTGTTATGAAGAAGATATACAGTGAAGGCAATGTTAAGAGTGCCAGTTCAGTAGAGATATTTCTACAGGATTATCTGTGACCTAGACCTGCTTTACATCTTATTATCCTTTTTTGCACAGTGAATACTTTTGTCATATGGGCGGAATTTCCCCATAAGGTCAGCTTATAAGACTTTGCAGACTGTATGAGTCCAAAGTACGTCAGTTTGAGTACCTGCAATGAAACAGTTCCCCGTAACTGTCTCATTACAAAACATAAGCTACTCATTTTTGAGGTACTTCCCAAGTCAGTTTTTGATCAATTGTAGGTCCTAAGTATTTAATATGACTGACCTGCTGTACAGATTTATGATGGATTCTTATGAGGGGACTGTAATCATATGAAGTATTTTTTTGCTGGATGAACATGAAGACTGTTTTATTTGTATTAACTAGTAAACCATTGTTTTTACACCAGAGTAAGAATTCCTCTGCAGTTTTGTTTGAGACTTCTATCGAGAGTGGAAGATTGTTTTTTGGTACTATTTGGCTTCAATTATCTGCATATGTTATATATTTGGTGACAAAGATTCAAGTACTATATCACTCAAAAAGATTATGAAAAATAGCGGGGGCAGTTTTGATTCTTGTGGGACTCCCATTGTAACAAGGGCAGGTTCTGATTTTGATTGAAAGTATTATTAGAAAACAAACTGATGAAACTTTTACTACTTGTTATATGACAAAGAATTATATCTCTTTTTATGAAAGTACTAAATAGAAAATTAATTCTTCATGATACACCCTAATATAAAACAAGTCATGACAAATTATGAAACGAAAGTTTGGTGAACATCTATAAAAAACTTAGCAATCATTTATAGTTATAGCGCAAGATCCCAGAGCTCCAGCCCTAAGGATAAGCTAATATTTTGGCAATAGAGTGTAATTATAATAATAGTAAGAATGTTTATTCCTTTTTGATATGGTATGTCAATGTACTTAGTTATGTAAGAATAATCACTAAAATAAATAAAAGAATAAAACAAAATCGCTTCCCGATGTCTGTCCCTAGGCATGCTTAGATCTTTAAAACAATGCAACAGATTTTGTGTGTGTGTTTCTGTTTGAAATCTGTCGCACCTCTACGAACGACAACCCTCAGAAGTCGAAACTTGTGCGAGCTAAGGATTACCGAGGTCTTACATTTTAACGTGTGATTCCTAAAACGGGTTGAACGATAGCAAGTGAAAATCGATCGTTCAGACTGTTGCAACTAGTTGCATCAATAAATAAAATATATAAAAGAATAAACAATTGTTTGAAATACACAAACATAAAATACATAATAGACATTAACAAATATTGTATGTAAATGAAGACAATAGTCGAATTATAAAAAAAGAAAACATGTGACATTAGTTAGAGTAGAGTTATTTAGCCCATATATATCTCTTGACTTTGATGTGCTTAATCTGTCAATCAGGGTAATTATCTCTAGTTCTGTTACCGGAGTTAAGTAAAATGAAAAGGCTACACTGTTATTCTGTATTGATTCGATATATGTATCGCCATTAGACTCTAATTTTTGGACAATTTCCTTGCCAATGTTACAAAAGTAATTATTGAAGTCATCCAGCAATATTTGGGGGTTACGAGAAGTGATCATAGTAGGTTTTATGAGTGACCATGCCATTCTTTGCTTATTCTTTGCATTCATGATTAGGCGTGAGTTGTTAATTGCTAGTCTATACCGCTTCTTCATTTCCCTATATATTTCCCTCATAGAGGGGTCATTTTTAGTGATTTCATTCCACATTATCAACTGGTTTTTCAGTTCTACGATGTATTCACTATATTTTATTCCTCTATGGAATGAAATGCCATATTTAACAAATATTCTGATGATGATTATTTTACTTCCTATATGTTTTTTACATGACCAAAAATATCTCTAAATTTATTATAGAATCTGATTTGTTGATAACGATGTGAATTTTGACCCTCAGTCAGTCTAGTAAAAGGTTGATGAAGATGATTGCTAGGTAAAGTGTTGTTACCACATATTACATTATTTCTTAACGTTCCTTTATTTATAATACCCATTATTAACGAATGGAATTCATCCCCAATTCCCGCGGATGCAACATATAATCTTTTTTTGAAGAATGAAGACATTGAGAATGAAGGCATTGTTTAGATTATTCCCGAAAATGTTATATCATGAGATAAAAGAAAAAAGTAACCGATAGTACTTTTTCACAGACACTGTATCACTTTTATTGTTAAGACATTAACTTTGCTAAAATCTGGATCTGGCAGTTTTGGAATCTAGGACAATTCTATTAAAAATTCCTATAAAAAACTTTTGCAAGTCAAATTTTCGGGACATAATTTCTTTATTTTTATGTCCTTCCTCTAATATGAATTTGCTATTTATACCTAAAGGAATCGGATTTGTTTTGAATCTACAGTTTTATTCAAAGGGACAAATGATTGTTAAGGAAGTCAAAATATTCCATCATAAACGGGAAGATGCTTTTTAATAGAGCCCCAATATAATGATCAAGGTCCTAAGAAAATTCAAAACAGAATGTTTGCAGGCTGAAATCAAATATAGCAGTTTATGTTATGTTTACCTCAGCTATTATTGGAAGAACGGGGCCAAGTCCCATAACAACATAAAAAATAACTTCTAGCATTTTGTACTTTTCGTGGAAGATTTGTTGGTAAGTGACACCAATGACGGCTAGAAACCATACTATCCATCGCATCTGGGAAGCCCAACCTTCTTGTGGCAGTTGTTCTAGTGTCAACCATGGAAAATAAGATCCTGCAATGAAGATGTAAATCATAGCTCTATCGCAGCGATGAAGAATATCCTTCAGCTGCCTGAAATGATGAAAAAAGGATTAATTAATGATTGTATTCAGCTAATAATAATAAGATTTTTTGGGAAAAAAAGTTTTTGGCGCTCTACTACTCCATCTTGATACATCTTTCCCAAAAATTAATCACTCCTAAAAATATAACCTTTTCAATTTAATAATAGATATTAATAGATACTGTAATGAATCTGAAGCCAGCCCTGACCGATATCTCAGCCAGCGAATAAACATGACATCACCACGAAAGAAGCAGTCTGACTCGCCGGGAAAATACTAGGCGAGTACAGAGACCACTAGATAAATCTAGAACGATCGTTACCGATATATAAGCTCTGCTTCCCGTCCAGAGATAGAGTCTGTATACAGAAAGCGAATCGAGCGGTTAAACAAAGAATTCAAACAGTGAAGATAAATTAAGCGTTAGTTGCTAAGTGTTGAATATAAATTAGTTAATTCGTTACAATACATAGATAGATGGATAGACTACATACATATCAATAAAAATAGTAAATAGTTTAGTTACCTGTATTTATTGCAGTAAAAAACGCAATGGAAACTGGTTGAAACAGAGAAAAGGAATATCAAAGTGACACCATAAACGATGGCAGAGAGCAAATGGTCACGATCATTAGATCTGTTAACTAACTCGAACGTTCCTATGATACTGGGAATAATCCAGAAACCATGAGTAATAATATTGGCTAAATGCTCGATGGATGTTGGGCAATAGGCTTCCTTGAGCTGTGCTCGTTTGTTCATCCATTGTATGCTGAAATAAAAGTCAATTTTTATTGTAGTCACGTATATGGAGTAAAAAAACAAAAACAAAAATGATTGCCTGTAAAATAAAGCCATTTTCCAGAACAATATACATTCAAACCTGTTGTATACCTGAAAAGTAAGTATAATAAAGTAGTTACAAAAAAAGTATATATAAGTCCAGGTGAAAACACCTCACCCTTGCCTCTCAAGTGAACCTACCATTTTGTAGATACCCGACAGAGAAACAACAATTAACCCAGCTAATGATGAGCAGAGAGCTGAAGTGAAACATCTTCCATGTGGAAGATTCGTCGCAAATAATGTCTTATGTATGAAAAGCAGAAATTAATTTCATTTGGTCGGGATGATCACCGATAGATTGGTTTCGGAGTATTAGCACCTCGTCAGTACCGGAATGGTCATTTTAGACGGAGTGAAACGTTTGAAGGTCCCAAACAAGCAAAATCAATTACAAGCAGTTATAAGCTCTATCTGCAGTTAATTTAGTAGGATGTCCACTGCGCCACCTGCAGACAAAGTCTAGAAGCCACAAACACATACTCCGGGGTAGGAGTCAGAAATGAAATTACCCTCCTGGGCATGCGGTTTCCAAAATAAATAAGGCAGCTACTGTCAATATACCGTGAGCTTTGAAAAGAGGGTTGCACATGTACCTGGTAGCTGCTTTACACATGTATCAGAAAGCCCTCTTTTGAAGTACAAAAATCATTTGAAATAAATCTGTTGACCAAACTACCCAGCAGGCAATTCCATGTCTAATATGGGGATAATGAGAGTAAAATAGGCTGTTCTCGAATGTGAATAGCCTAGTTCTGAAGAGATGACTCAGTGCAAAGCAACGTGAGACAAACTTCTTGATATTCAAGGATAACGGACACCATTCTTTAATTTTATGGTAATCTCTGGATATGACCTCGTGAATAGTATGGGTGTCCTTATTGTGTCAGTTTTCTCTAGTCTTAATTTGTAATAGGTCTGCTTAGCACGCTTTTTTTAATTGACCTGTATTCATTACTTATAGTAATTAACAAATGCGGTTTAGCTAGGACCTATACATTTCCTTATGGTAATGACCTTAGGTTTTTGGCAAAGATTTTAATGCCATTTTTCAAACAGGGTCTTTTTTGTTTTTTTTTTGTTAACCCATTGGAGATGGTTTAGAATTATCTAGCAAAGAATGCCAGTTCGTTCGCTCACAACATTGACAGATACTATTGCAATTCTCTTTACTGAAGGAATGACTCCATTCTCACTTTTACTGGACGTACTGAAAGGGAATTGGAAGAAAAAACTAACACAGCTTCATGATCCGATAGCCCAGAAGGAATAACAAAACAGTCTGTACTGATGAGATCTAAATTACTATAAATGTAGTCTATTATTGAAGCCGAGTATTGAGAAATACGAGTGTGATAGTTTGTATACATGACTAAATCAAAAAAGGTGAGGAGACTAGTTAACAATGATATACTTATGGAGTGTGGGGTCTTCAAAATTGATATTGAAATAGTAAGAATAACGGATGAATTATTTGCCAGCTGCGAGAGCAATGATTCTAAGTTTTTTAAGAACTGATGAACGAGCTTTATAAACGTAAATTATATATAGTTTCACAACAGGGACAGAATTTAATGCTTAATTCGAAAGTTTTTTCTAGTAGCAATATACTAAAGCAGTTCCGTCAGGAGAGTTTTTGATCAAAATTAAAGTTACACAATGAATGTCATCCACTACACTAAATTAGTGAGTAGCCTGGTACATGCATAGACTCCCCTACCTTGAGCCAGTGTTCAATCAGAAGGATTAATTTAGGAAATTTTTGGCTTCCTAAGAAAATAAATAAATCATCGGTCCTGTTGCTAAATGACTGAATATTCAACAGTAAGAGCGTCAGTTGCTTTGATGAACAAAGGATTTTAGAATTGAATGCTAAGTTGTTATTGACCCTACAAAGATGGTTCTCTAAAAATGTTCATTATATCCTTATAAGTTTGACAATTCTTCATATAATGAGGGATTTTGATCTACTGTCTTGGTATTAGTTGGTAATTATTGGTAAATTAGTATGAGCAACTTTGTCTACAGAAACTTTTTTCATATTTTTGTCAGTTTGGCAGGCCAGTATTACGTCGCTTTTATTAACGTTTGCAGTCCTTATTTTGGTATGAGCTACTTATTGGACAGTTTGATGTTAGATTATCCGTTTTATGTCCAGTAAATAGATATCAGGGTTTGTTACAACACCAGATGTTATAACTAAAAATGTTATATGTTCATGTAAACTTGATCAGTGATTGAATATACTGTCGCAAGATATAAATACACATTAAGGTTGGGTGAGAGGTTGAAATCAAGGAATTCATCGACTGTATACAAACAATTATTCAAAAAAAAATTAATGCTGTTTTACTACCTTCTGTCCTAGAATTCGGAGCTAGACTCTCACGAGAGAATGATTGATAATAATTAATGTCTGTCTTTGACACAGTATTTTTGGTCCTTGATGAAAAAATCAAATTCAATATGTATAAACAATATATGGCAATCGGAGAATACTTTCTTTTAAATAACAACCTACAAGAGTCTATTATGTACATGAACTTTGAAGATTCGTTTTACATGTGCAGAGATGCCCAAAATATCGGACCATATTGCAATTTCGACTGAATCAAACCCTAGTATATGAATTTCGAAACCTTCATAGTGACAGAATCTCCTCAAGTTTTGTAAGACATGAGTTATATTACCTACTTTGGAGCATAGATAGTCAATGTGTACTTTCAAAGTTATTTTTTCATATTTTATAAAAAAAATATGTGACTCTGTTCTAGGGTCTTAGCACACATGTTGGTGGGGACTAGATTTGATACTAAAGTGATATTTTATGTTTCAATAGTTAAATTCATCAGATGCAATGTTACTTATGTCTATAAGATTTAGATTTTTATGTGATAATAAAATGCTTATATCACCGGCATGGAGTATCATTTTATTTAGTGTTGTGAATGTACAACTAGTCATTACTAATTTGAACAAAAAAGAATTGGTCCCAGAATTAGGCCTTGAGGCACATCCAGTTGGATGGTTTCACTTTCTGAGTTTACATAATTGATCACTGTTATTTGAGTATAATTTGTTATGTATGGTCCTTACTGTCCTTATTTAATAAAGTTGCCTTTGACTAAATGAGAAAATGTATTTGAACTAATATTAGGTATCATGTGCGAAGTAACTGATGAAATTATTTAGTAGGTACCTATGTAGTACCTGTAGTGTTTGTAAAATAAAAAAATGAAAACTTACCATCTGAATTTTTGTAGAAAAGTATGTCTATTGAAATACAGCACGTATTGTTTCAAAAGTGTACTGCTTATCATACCTAAAACATTGTGGTATAAGAACATTTAAGAAATAAGGTGAGAGATCCAATAATTAAAAAACTTGAGTTGAATTTTTTTACATTATAGTTTTAATAAATTATTGGAAAATACTACATGTAATTTATCATTTCATATTAACGAAATCAAAAAGTTTTTATACAAACCAATAAATGGATAAACAAATTGCACGCCCGTGCCTTCGATCTTTGACCTAACGTTTCAATGTTCAATCTTTCTGTCAACCTTTCAATTTCAAACCTTTGACGAGTAAACAATCCCAAAGTCAATCTCAACCACAGCCACAAACCACATGAATGAGTCTTCTTCTGATACAAATACAGTCTCTCTCTTTCTTGCTTTTAAGTTGGGCGCATTTGGCCAGACTCCTGCTGTTATAATAATTAAAACAGTTTCGTTGGAGGGCATAGCCACAGTATTTCTGTATATATAGTATACTGTGGCATAGCGGTCCTATTCACCAGAACGTCTAAGAATGGCAACAGTAAGTGGGGAAACATCTGTATACCGAAAACCCACTCATACGGGACATAAAATTGAAACGTACTACACTGTACTACACTATTTCACATTTAACTCTTTGTTCATTTTTGTACGAAAAAATTATATATTCATGGTCTACTTGTTTTCTGTGATGAGTTTTCACTGATATTTTTTAGATTTTCATCTTCCCGTGGTTTCATATTGAAAGTAAATTTCGTTTAAACAGTTTGATACTTTGATAAGAAATTGACTTTATTAAAACAACGATAAAAATAAAATAAAAACACAATAAAAATCACGGGTTGGACGATAGCGAGTGAAAATCGATCGTCCTTGAATAAGTAATAAATCAATATATTTGAAAACATTTCCTAGAAAGTATAGGTGAGGGTATAATTCCTTGATAAGATCGAAAACTGTGAAACTTCATAAAACAAAATATTACCGTGATTTTGATGATGAAACAGTTTTTCTTTGTTCATGCTTCTGTATAGATTCATAGTAAAATCATAGATAGTATACTTAAACTTTGTTTACTATAATATGATAAAATATTATGATATAACATGATAATATATTTTGTCGATAATAAATTTTCAATATATTCATCAATTGAATTTGTTCATATCTCTAAAATGTTAGTCAATGAAAAGTCTCGCGCTTCTCAGAAAATAATGAACTTTGCACTATGAACAGTTCAACTCCATCGAATTACGAGTATTTCATAAGTGGTAACTTCATTCAATTCTTCAGTTGAGTTCACTGTATGTTAACTGACTGAAATATATGTATTTATAGTTGAAATCAATGAATTTATCATAATTATGAAACAATACCGGAGATAAGATGGATATTCAACTTTCTTCTCAACTCACCTTTGACTTTTGCACTCATATCACTGCGAGTGGAGCAGAAACTAATAAAAGTAGGTACTCGATAGGATTTACTTGTTACCTGCTATGAAACGGAGAAGGTCAGCAAAAAGTTCGAAAAGCTTATGTGAGGGATTATACACTTTGTCAGGTTTCGTTTTAGAATAAACCCGATATTTATTCTAGTAAAATTGAAACGAATTGTATGTTGGATAAGATAATATGCAGGTAGATAATGTAATAGATAGATAGATTTATTGATCCTTTTTGCTGCATAATGTGTAGATGGGATAAGTCATAATGATTACCTAAACTCTTTATGAGCTTCTCGAACTTGAAAAATATGTATTTTATAAGTGGTTTATGATTTCAGAAAGGTTATCCAAAAAATGTACATATTCAAATGTGCGCTTTTTCGCCTTCAATCGGATTAATTTGTCTGTCTGTTTTTCCGTTCTCGCTGTCGCCCCCCTACGAGCAACAACTCTCAGAAGTCGAAACTTATGCGAGCTAAGGACCATCGAGGTCTTACCTTTTAACGTGTGATTTCTAACACGGGTTGGACGATAGCGAGTGAAAATCGATCGTCCTTGAATAAGTAATAAATCAATATATTTGAAAACATTTCCTAGAAAGTATAGGTGAGGGTATAATTCCTTGATAAGATCGAAAACTGTGAAACTTCATAAAACAAAATATTACCGTGATTTTGATGATGAAACAGTTTTTCTTTGTTCATGCTTCTGTATAGATTCATAGTAAAATCATAGATAGTATACTTAAACTTTGTTTACAGAGAGTATTCATATTCATGTTTGCTAAAACTGACAACTCCCTATCTCACTTCTACTTATATGGGATTTAGTAATTTATGTTGTCCAGGATAACATCAGCTTCTCGTCAATACCATAAAAGTATCGAAGCAGAAAAGATTCACCTGCAAACTAATACTCCTCGTAACGTAACTTTTCGAAAAGGAGTCATGGATTAATATTAGGCTTGTTGACATTAAGTTTTGATCATCGACAGTAAATTATTTTCTTTTTGATTCATGATACGATGATCATGATGGTACCTACTGTTGATTCTTAATATTGACGGAGTTCATATGGATTGGGGAACCGATAAAACACCAAAACATGAATTATTATTTCTTAGTATTTATAGTCGTTGTAAAAGTAGAGAAAAAAATAACATTTACATGTTCATAAAGACACTATCATATGAGAGTTATGCATTGCATTTCGCAACATGATTTCAGTTTCCAGAAATACATAGCATTTGTTTAATTTAAGCAACCTAACATATATGAATATGTTTTTCAATACACAGTATATTGGGATGGCTGGTATTTAGCCACATTAAAAAAATCAGTACTTAAGAACCTACATGTGAAACCTAGAATAAGGATCGAGTTAATAGTGATGTTTTTCTGACACCCATTGTATCAATATTATACAATACGATCAATTATGAATAAACGAATTTCACACCTGCAACTTCACATTACTGTATATATATTCTGTCATACTGATTATACTTGTATACATAGAAGAATAGCTATGCTAAACTCCACCAAGTAAATAAAGACCCTTTACTATTATTATTATATGTGATGGAATCGGCCGATAGGTACTTGATGAAAATCCAAAACGTATTCAAAAAACACTTAACTGTGAGATTTTCGACAAACACTTTACAGTTTTACAAAACCGCAACACGTGTTTTGCTATACAATAGCTTCTTCAGGCTTGTCTACGAGTATACTCACTACATGTTCAGTGCTTTATATATTTTTTTACAACATGTAAACTGGGTCTGCAGTTGTCTTCTGTTCGACGTTTCGGCTGCTTCGTTGAAACCATTTTCAAGATATTTATTGGCGATTCTTGAGAAAAAATATAATTTGTTTGCATTCTTTTTTCAATATTTTGAAGTGGTCGTCAAATGATAAGCAATTATCAAGTTGAAATCCCACTGAACGTATATTTCTATACGTTCATCTTCAATTTTTATATTTATGTTGTTTGTATTTATTTGATTATATTTGAATTTAGTAGTATAATTATCATCGCTTTTGTTTTTCAACGTTAAGTTTATTTTTATTGGTTTATTGATAGTCTCTGTGAATCATCTCGTTTATTCAGGCAGTTGGGACGTTTTTCAATTTTGATAACTCCACGAAATATCTTGTGTCGAAGAGTTTTTTCCGTAACAATGGTTTTGATGTTTTTGGAGCTTATTCTGTTTAAAAACCTGTTTTTCCGTTAACCAGTTGTCGCACCCCTACGAACGACAACCCTCAGAAGTCGAAACTTGTGCGACCCATGAACTAACGAGGTCTTACCTTTTAACGTGTGATTCCTAATAAGGTCTGTGGCCTGTTTCAAAGTAATGTCTGAAGAGGGATGAGGCTGGATCTGATTTGCGAACAGTTAGTTTATTCAACGATAGCAAACCCATACCCCACACCCGAACTACCCGATGGACAGACTGACCAGCCAAAAGCTATTCGCCCTATTGACGAAAAATTGTTTACCTTCGATTTGGAATCGAAACAAACTGTTTGGTTATTTTTTTATCATAACGTGAAATTGAATTTCATCTTCTCCCAGTTCAAAATACCAAACAGTTTAAAAATTATTGAATAAAAATATTTTCGTCCCACTCGTATATAGTGACGAATAGTAACTACTCGAACGCAGTAGTAGCTCAAACATTCCACCCGTCATGTACCGGTAGGTCTAATTTATTATTGTGGATAATTCATCTACTGCCATTGATGTTGATGTCGGTATTTTGATTATTCCAAAATTATTTACACGCTTTTATTTGGTTTTCCGTTGCTCATTAACAATGACTATGGAGAGGGGCCACTGATATATGTGAAATTCAATATGAGATGCGGGATTACTGTTAGGTAACCTCACTGTTACATCCAACAATTATCCAAATTTTATCATTGGAAAATGTATAAGTAAAGCACAAATTCTAATTCAGTACCATTTCATTTGGTATTCGGTAATATGAACGTTACGCTGAAGTGTTCCTTGTTTACATTAGTAAGCTTTTTTCTAAGCTTTGCTCTACAGTGCACCAACATTGGCTATCCCTTCGAAAATCACTTGGGCACTAAGACTCCATATAGAATTGTCTCCAACAAAAGCTTCGAGAAGGTCGAATTTGAAGGTTTGTATATAAAAATACAAAATTTCAGTTATTACATTTGGGATTTATGCAGGATGCACTCCAAGAAAAATTTGGATGATGGTTAGACATGGAACAAGAAATCCAAAAATATCATTGATAGAGAAAATTAAAATACGTCTACCAGAGATAAAACGACTGATTGTTGAGAACGTTGAATTACCAAATGGTAAGTAACTTTATATTTTTTTCATCTTACTTGGTAGAGGTACAGTTAATAATTTGGTTCTCTTGAGAATGTATTTTTGCATTATGAGATTTTTTCTGAATTTTCATTTTAATACCTTTAGGAAGCCATCTCTTAGGCCCTTTATAAGCAAAGATAGTAATGAAAAATGGTAACAGGCGAACATTCTAAAGAAAATAATTTCAATATTTTTTTCAATTCAATGATTCCAAGTAACCTCAAGGTCTTCCTAAGAAAATAGTCTTCAAACAATTTCCAATTGTCGTATATTCTCATCAACTGTAATTCACCTTTGAGATTGCTTCTGGAAAATTCTGTAACATTCAATATACAAAGGACTGTAATGAGATCAAACTTAAAAGATTCAGGTAAATTATCATATTAGGTAGGATCATTGAAAGGTGAGATCACATTAGTCCTTAGCTCGCACAAGTTTCTACTTTTGAGAGTCTATCAAGTAATAATTTATAGTGGGATTTTCACTGGCTGGTTTTCAAAACCGTAACAAGTGTTTCCTCAAGTGGTTTCATACTGAGGTCAGTCTGAAAATGATTGAGAAAACACATGTTGCGGTTTTGTACACTGTCCAGTGAAAATCTTCAATTGAGTGTTACTTGAATGTCTTCAACCATGCACATGAATTAATCATCCATACTCACAAGTTGTGAAAACTTTTGAGGATTGTAAGGAAGTTAGTTGACGTTGAAAAATATTTCATATGTCAAAACTTGTAAGGTTGTATCAAGTCAAGTTTTCAAGCCATCTTTTGCAAAGTCGAAACTCACATTCCAAACAAGTTGAAGAAATTTTGCTACAATTTACTTTTCAATATTCTCACAGTGGAAATGTTAGAGTATAGATCAAGAAATGTACAGCACATCAAATGAAAGTTGTAACAGTGTGTTTTCCAACAAGATTTCATCTAGTTTCATTCACTATATTTAGTAGGTATATGGCTGGTAGTTCAGCCCTGACTATTGCAGCGCAGACATTTGTGAAAAAGAAAAAATAATCATATTCTTGCCTATACTTGAATCTGAAAATATACCTGAATTGAAGCTGAATTGGAAGCAAGTTTTCAAATTCCAAATAAAAAAAAAAACAGATCAAATCCTGATCACCAAATTTTTTTCAATATATTTTCTTAATTATATTATTGAGACTGTATACTTAAATATTTTTCAATGTTTTTTTTCCACAATCTGAAAAATGAACAAAGCTAAATCAATAGAGAATCTGCTGAAATGTAATAAAGAGCAATCTGAAAAATTCACCTCAAAAAGTTACTGCGTAATATAAACCACTGAAGAGTACAATCAGTCAGTAACTTGTATTCATAAGTAGCTTTCTTTAGTGATCGACGGTTCGGAAAACAATCTTTTCCCGTTATCAAAACCCATAATTCACTTTGATGCTTTTGACGTATGTCAAAAGAATTAAAGCTATTTAAAATAGAGGCGAAAGTTTTGAAGTGAATTTTGGATTGCTACAATTGAAAAACATTGTTTTCCTAAACTTCAACCACTGAAGATATCTAAATACTGAAATTTTATTTATTTCGATTGGGTGTTTCAATTTGTAGACAAAATTTTTGAATACGGCAAGTTACTGACTGACTGATTGGACTCTTCAGTGGTTTAAATTACCTAGTAACTTTTCGAGGTGAACTTTTCAGTTTGCCTTTTGTTACACTTCAGCAGATTACCTATTGATGTCGTTTTATTATTTTTTAGATTGTGGAAGGTCATATACCCAAAAAAGTAAGAAGTATTGAGTCCTCCACAAAAAATGTCTCAAAGAGTTAATATTTTTGTTTGTGAAAATTTCACTATTTTCTTTCGACACTGTCTCATCCTTTGTTTCAGTGAGCAACATAAGTTCAGTTAATGTAATCCAGCAAGGAGTGAAAGTAAATGTTAAGCAACAAAGGGGTACCTGCATGAAAGTATTTGTCACAGTAATCACTTACTTGTAATAATTATCAACATAACATAATTCAAGCTCATAATTGAAATAATAATAATAATAATGTTTATTCAAGGAAATAGTTCATAAAGAAAACAGTGTTACATGAATAATGAGTAAACATTGAAAACATCACGGAAGTATTCAAGATACTTGTATGTGATGATGCTAGAACAAACAGATTGTGATTCAATTAGTGATTGAACATGTGGCACATGTGACATCAGAAAATAACTGTTACTCGGGGTCTACGAAGGTCACACTTGGTTTGGTCCAATGAACATCAGTAAATAGGTTATAATTTGATATTTCTATTGTGTCTCTGAATATGAAACGTATTGTCAAAAATTATAAAAAAGTTCATATTGAACATTTCACCGGTTTTTGAATTTCCCAAAAAGACAAACAATCTTCTAAGTAACTATAGCACAGTTGCTTTACTATTAGTGGTACCAGGAATCTTGGAGAAAGCTATAGATGTAGGTACGTATTTTTGAAATTTGGGGTGCTTCAACATCTTGAGCTGTCATCAGTATGTTCTCTGGGCAATCATTAATAGGCTACGAATTGGCTGCTCAATAGGCTACCTTCTTTCATATGTTACCCATTTTTGGAATAATATCTTTTCAGACGAGGGTTCACCGCTCTCACCATTGTTATATAACTTATACAGCTCTGATATTTATCATCACTAACAAGGGAATATCAACCACTTCAGGCATGAAGCTTATATTCTTCAGTAAGCAGATGACACCGCCCCAATTGCGCACAATCAAATGCTAGGCAAAGTTATTAACAATTTGGAACATCTTGCAATAATAACAAATAACTGGTTCAATAAATGGAGGCTCCAGCCAAACCCATCTAAGTATCAGTCCGTCATATTTAATCATCGGAATTCCGCAACTTCTCCAATAATCAACGTTTTCCAACATATCTTACATGCCAAATCGACAGTTGATTACCTAGGTGTTACGCTTGATTCCAGACTTAATTTCAACAGCCACGTCAATAACAAAAAAAGAAAGTGATTTCAAGAGCTGCACATTTCACAAATTTGATAAACCCGGAGCAGGTGCAAACATATCAACAGCAAGCCGAATATACAGGGTGTAACTAAATAAGTGTAAATCATTTGAGGAGGTGATTCCTCATCAAAAAAAAGATAGGATCTTTCATATGAAGAAATTTCATTGGAGCATACCTTGTTAAGATACAGCCCCTTAAAGGGGGTACATACAATTTGTATAACAATTTTTTTCACAAGCACTAAAAAAGTTACAATATTGAAATTAACCTGACGTTTTGTACTACCAAAAAGACACTTAGCCAGAAATTTATTCAATTAGTGATTGAACATGTGGCACATGTGACATCAGAAAATAACTGTTACTCTGGGTCTACGAAGGTCACACTTGGTTTGGTCCAATGAACATCAGTAAATAGGTTATAATTTGATATTTGTATTGTGTCTCTGAATATGAACCGTATTGTCAAAAATTATAAAAAAGTTCATATTGAACATAGCACAGTTGCTTTACTATTAGTGGTACCAGAAATCTTGGAGAAAGCTATAGATGTAGGTACATATTTTTGAAATTTGGGGTGCTTCAACATCTTGAGTTGTCATCAATATGTTCTCTGGCCAATCATTAATAGGCTACTAATAGGCTGCTCAATAGGCTACCTTCTTTCATATGTTACCCATTTTTGGAATAATAGTTTTTCAGACGAGAGTTCACCGCTCTCACCATTGTTATATAACTTATACAGCTCTGATATTTATCATCACCAACAAGGGAATATCAACCACTTCAGGCATGAAGCTTATATTCTCCAGTAAGCAGATGACACCGCCCTAATTGCGCACAATCAAATGCTAGGCAAAGTTATAAATGGAGGCTCCAGCCAAACCCATCTAAGTATCAGTCCATCATATTTAATCATCGGAATTCCGCAACTTCTCCAATAATCAACGTTTTCCAACATATCTTACATGCCAAATCGACAGTTGATTACCTAGGCGTTACGCTTGATTCCAGACTAAATTTCAACAGCCACGTCAATAACAAAAAAAGAAAGTGATTTCAAGAGCCGCACATTTCACAAATTTGATAAACTCGGGAGCAGGTGCAAACATATCAACAGCAAGCCGAATATACAGGGTGTAACTAAATAAGTGTAAAACATTTAAGGAGGTGATTCCTCATCAAAAAAAAGATAGGATCTTTCATACAAAGAAACTTCATTGGAGCAT